TTGGGTCCTGGGGTCCTAACGAATGAGATGCGAGAAAATGGCCAGGATAAGACATTCCATGCCACTTTGTAGGAAGGAGGAAACTCTAGTGAACTCATCGAAGAGATCATTAAGCGGACGGTCTATGAGAGCTCGGAAAAGGAAGTAGTGATTACCAGGCACCAGCCCTAAAAACCGATGACCCAGGTATGCTTAGGGAGCCCGCCCTTGAGTGCGGTCGTACAAGTCGGCTTCGAGCCTGAGTTGACCACAGTGCGAAGCAGCGAGATGCTCTCACTCAATGAAAAACCACACTCAGAGATGTCCAGAACATGATTCCGTTCTGTGTCCTTGGCAAGAGTCCCTGGAGAGTTGGGGTATGTACAGAAAAGGAGCGTTCACAAGGAAGAGGGAACCCCTGTTTACTGAGCAAGCAACTTGCCGCGTGCTGGGCGTTGTGCTAAGTGTGGGCTCTATGTGTGTTTTAATACTTCATACCATGCAGGGATTGCTAATAGACCAATTTAAGTGAGGAAGGATAGGGTTATGTCAGCGGAGTGGTTGGGCTGAGGTCAGTAGCTGGGGAGTGGAAAAGCTATGACTTGAACAGAGATGTTTCTCACCCACCGTCCTCTGTGCAAGCCTGGCGGAGCGGTAAAGTGATGGACATGGGCCCGCACAAGGACTATTGAAAGAGGAGGTAGTGAAGTCATTTTAACAACAAGGGGAAGAAACAGAGACATGGCGGTGGCTTCCAAATATTCAGAAGGTTGCCCTTTGGAAGGAGGGTTAGCCTTGTTCTCCAAAGCCCCCAATGGGTGGAAGTAAGGCGGTGGTGTGGAGGTAGTAAGACCACTTACCATTCGCTAACCACTTGCTGCTAGAAGCTCCCCTTGCTGTGTGCATTCCTCCTCCAAACCCCAGGGGGTGAGGTGCAGCCCTCTGATCATCTCCATCGCGCTGGCAAAGAACCGCAGGGAGATAATGACCAGGATCTCCCACTAGTCAGTGGCTGAGCCCGGGCCTAAGATCGGGGTCTGGCCCACACCAGCATTTTCAGCCATTTCCCTTTGCTGCATTCCTGTTGGTAGATTTCTAATCAGCATAAGGGAAAATGCCCAAGTAACGAGAAGTTCCCAAAAAGGGAGCCCTCTATCAGGGAGCCGCCCTTCACCGTGACAAATCCTGAGGGGCAGGGACGCTGGGTTGGATCCAGGCCTGATGACCATGCAAGGTGTCTTTGTGAAATTCTATTTTTATCCTGTGCTCTTGAGATGTAACAAGTTTACTTTAGATTAATAGTCGAGGCAAGGGGGTGTTGGTGGGTCTGGTGGTTCTTTATCGCTCTGCCAACCTGAATTCTGCGATAAGCTCCAAATCCAGTTTCTCTGAGATACCGTTTCTAGTTCAGTCATTTATGATAAGTTCATGGATAGAACAATCCGTAGGATAGTTTACTGCTATAGCTTTGAAGAGTAACAGTTCCACTGGCAGGTGAAAATCATTATTCTATGCATATTTGAAAATAAAAACAAGAAATTTGAAGGGGGAACAGAACCTAACAAAACCCTGTAATCATTATTACAGTATCATGAACTATTCTGGTATCTCACCTTTTTGGAAGCAGGATCAAAACCGTACCAGACTTCAGGATAGAGAAGGGGGAGAAAACCTTTTCCTTAATCTCTGGAGCACTCATGTTGGTCTCCTCCCTGCCCCCATTCCCAGCACACACAGTCACAGTCCTTAAGACAACCAGGGTATGAAGAAATAAGGGTTCTTGGAATATGTTTCTAGATCTGGAGTTTTGGACCTGCGGCCTTCATTTGTTGGTTTATTCATTTGTTGGTGAATGAGGTCATATGGAAAAACTTTGCGGCTTGACTGTGTTGGTGGATACTCTTCTAAGCTCTGACTAGCTGACATTTTAGCTAGGTTAGCTAGAGGTTCTTTTTCTTTCTTTCTTTTTTTTTTTTTTTTTGGTTATTTATCTTTAATCATGACACGTTACGTTTCTGAACTCAGACCTAGCAGCACCGTCTCCAGAGAGCCCCAGTCCCCAGGGACTGCATCCACACACGGCTGTCCTCATGTTTGCTGGAAGGCTGCTTTGTCCGTCAGGGGAAGGTCAACCTCCCCTGCTGCCGTTCCTGGCCGCCTTCCGGGTCTCCGCGTCCTGTTGGCATGCTGCTCTGCCTTCATTTCTGCCCTATCAGTTTTCATTCCAGTTCTCAGTCCTTAGGGCATTGCGTAGTACTTAAAAACTCAAAAGTGGAAGGAGTTTTATGTATGATTCAACTGAACTAACTGACCTCACTTCCTTGGTCCGGGGCGGGGCGGGGGGGGGGGGAGAAATGAAAAACCAGATGGACCGCATCATGGGTCGGGTGCTCACTAATGGCAGCACGATGCCTCGCTCCCCCGCAGCTGGTGTTAGGAGCCTTCTTTGTGCCCATTACCATGTTGGCACTGAAGACACCAGGATGTGGTCCTTTCTCCTTCAAGGAGCTCTAGCATAAACACTGCACTTATAAGGCAGGTGCTGTGGGAACGGGGAACCCCAGGGGGTTGGGGCAGGAAAGCATCTCTGACCCGAGTCTTCAAGGACACGGGCTGTCACGGCGGTGGCAACGGCAGGTAGACGTGTGTGACTAGTTCTGAAGGACTCTGTAGGTCAGGACTCTGGGAAGAGACGAAAGCAGGAAGGTAGCCATGCTGAGGAGTTTGGACTGGATTTCGAAGGCAGTAGGAAGCCTTTGAGAGGTTTTTAGAGGGAAATAACGAGATGTAGTTTGTGTTTTTAAAAATACCACCTTGCTAGCGAGGTAGAGAATGGGTTGGCCATAGGGGAGCTAGGAAGCAGAGAGAGATGCTAGACAGGTTGCAGAAATCCAGGTGAAAAAAGAAGGATCTGTGAACTAGGGCAGTACCATGGAGAAGAAGCAAATACATTTCCAAGCCATGTTGAGGAGATGGGCTGCAAAGAACGGGGTCGTGAGCAACCGATGGAAAACAAGGGAGGAAGTCATGGATGTGGCTCAGGCTTCTGGCTTGAGCGGGTCCAGGGCCCCTTGTTCAGATGGGACTTGGGAGAAGGAAGGTCTCGTTTGCTTGGAGAATTACAAGGATGCTGATTAATTCAATGGGGGGGGCACGATAAATTTGAGAAGCTTCAGAGACGTTCAGCGGAGGACATCTAGAAAGATTGCCGTGGGGGAGGGCTGGGTCTCAGGCAGGGGGTGCCGAGGTACAGCAGTCCCTTCCATGTCCCTTCCCTCTCTCAGAAGCCGCATTAAACAGACCCACCTCTCATCTGCGTCACTCACAGTTGGTGGACACGTGAGACGTACTGATGTGACTTCGACCCCAGTGAGCAGAGGAATGGGGTCCCCGAGGTGACCTTGGATTTCTTGCCAGGATTGTTCTTCTCTGTGTCGACCTTCCTTCCGAATGTCCCTCCCAGGCTCCTTGGGGTCCTTGGCGAGAATCTCAGTAACAAGGCTATTGAGAGAGCGTACTGGTAAGAAGTACAAAGGCACTTTACTCATTATTGCATCTTTCCGATAACCTGGCCAGGTGTTGCTATTAATCGTCTCGTTTGACAGGTGTCGCAGTCAGTGGCAAAGTTGCGGATTTGACTCTAATTCCCATTCTCTTTCTGCAAAGTACATGGCACTGACTAACAGGAAAACAGATCGGCCCGTTAAATCCTCGGATGCAAGTCACCGGGGTTATTACTGAGGAAGAGATGTTTTAGGGCAGTGATGTGGCCCAGAGGTGTTTCTCCGGAGCCACCCTCTCCTTGGCTCGCCCCAAACCGGCCCCACGGACGCGCCCCCAGTTCTTCCCTCCTTTGCCCCATGCTGACCACACTCGGACCTGGCCGATCCTGGGGCACCCCCATCCTAGGCCCCCCTTCAGACTCTGCCACTGGGGCCCTGCTTACAACATTCCCCCTTTCCACAGCCTTCCCTCCGCCTCCTCTCTTGCCCCCAGCAGCCAGAAAAGAGCAGCAGGAAGTGAGTCCTCTGCTCAGAAGCCTCCAGTGGTTTCTCTTCTCACCTGGAGTCCACACCCTGACCTTCCAGGGCCCCCGTGTGCTGGCCTCTGGCCGCTTCCGTGACCCTGTCACCGAGCACACGCCCTCCACTTAAGCCACCCTGACCTCAGGCCGTTCCTTGGACGCTTCCGGCACCTTCTGAATGCCACAGGGCTTTCACGGAGCGGTTCCCACTTCCTGCCGTGGTGTCGCCCAGGTGGTTCTGTGGGAGGTTCCCTCTCGCTCAGGCCTCTGCCTCTCCGTGGGACCTTCCCTCTGGCCACGCTGGCCAAAGCAGCCGCCACCGCCACGCTCTGCCCCTCGTTCGGCCTCTGTCCTCAGAGTCCTCGTACTGTTTGTTTATTGGGATCGCCTGCATGTGAGCTCTGTGGGTTTCGGGCCTTTATCTGTCCTGCTGCTGCTGGGATAGCGCCCGGCCCACAGCGTGCTTGCGGGGGACTGGGGGAGCCACGGAATGAGCACCTGGAGGCCGTGGGCCTGCCGGAGAGGGACAGGAAGCGAAGTCACTACGGTGGAGGGACTCATAATGGAACAGAGTATCTTCATCTCCCCCAGCGTGGCCGGCATTGCTGGCTCCCTGACTCTCCGCATTTGGAGAGAACCATAAACAGGTATCCGGAAACTTGCCCACATTTCCACGAGTAGGATGCGGATTTATTGCCCTGATAAGGACGGCAATGGTTTGTTTTTTTTTGTTTGTTTGTTTTTTCCCCTTCTAACACACAAGTTACCAGCACAGATTTGCTGCCTAGTAATAGCGTGGGGTCCATGTCCTACCCATGCCCCCACTTCTGAATCTGGAGCTCACTCCAGGGAGTGTCTGGAGCCTGTTGAAAGTGCCACCTGCTTTCACAGGAAGAAGCGAGCTCTGTCTTCAGCGTGCCCTTAAACGGAGGTTTCCTTGTTGGAGATTTGAACCTAATGCCATCTTCGGTGCATTTTTCTGTTGCTCTTCCTATAGGATCTTCTACGTCTCTCATGATTCCCAAGACCTGAAGATCTTCAGCTATATCGCCCGAGATGGTGCCAGCAATATCTTCAGGTGTAACGTCTTTAAATCCAAGAAGAAGGTAAATGGGCAGTCTTCGGTCATTTTTTATTTTCCTCTGACAGACCCAGAGTAACTCCCCTCCCCAACGTTGACCCATCCCCTGTTGTTGGAGAGGCAAGATTCGAGGTGGTTCTCTGCGTGCACGACATGGGGGAGCCTTCCGATTAGACTGTCAGTGCCCCTGTGTAATGAAGTTCCCCTTCAGTTCCATCCCCACTTTGTACTCTGTGACATGTGGACAACTGGAGAGATCTCGACCATCGGATGAGGGCTCTGGAACGGGACAGGTGGATCACACCAGGAGTGATGCCCACTTTGGCGTGTGGTAGGCGAGAAGCACGGCCGTTGACTTAAGTGACCTTTCATCATAATTTTGTATATCGATCAGGGGTCTACAAATCATGACACGTGGAGTCTAGCGTGTAGACTCTGTGTGCGAGGCGGGTTGTCCTGGGTGGTTATTTTGGGGTCGTAACCTTGATGCTTGAGTAAATGCAATGTTGGCAGTTTGGTAGATGCTTTTTCTATCATTTCTCCAGGAATTTAACACAAGACTGAGGTTAGAAACCTGGGGTCTAGCCCCTGCCCCACTAGAGCCCTGAGAAATATTATGTGGGTCACTATCCCCAGTGGGTCTCAGCTTCCTTGTCTATAAAACAAAGAGGAGAGTCAAAAGCAGTTTCCTAAAATGGCTCCTGGAAAATATTTACCATCCAAAATGTTCCGTGTTAAAACTCTCCTCCTTGAATTTGCCAGGAAAGTCCTGAAGTTCGAGAAACCCTTTAGCTCTGTTTAACCCAGCATTTCGCAAAACTGTTTCAGCCACGGGATCATGTTTTTGCCTTGTAATCTGTGTAATATCCTAGGAACTATTTTTCTGCAGAAGAGATTTCGGGAAACACTTTATTTATGCCTTTGAGATTCCTTACGCATCTGCTGTTCTGTTCATAAACCACCGAGCATGGCTTTCTGTGAGGACGACTTCCAGATCCCTTCCTGTGGACCCCTGCTTTGACGCCGTATGACATCGTATACTATAAAGCATCTTTAATAGATTTGTAGGGACCTTGTCAAGTGGGCCTAATAAGAATAATACATGACAGGGTCATAATTAGTGAATCTTATGTGTCCAGTCCCCCCACCGTGGCTCCACAACGAGAATTCTGCTTTGCTGATTTAGCTTCTTCCTCTGAGGAGATTGGTGCCCTTGGCCACCACCTTTTCCCAGGCTTTTTAACGCAAATCATGGAATTTGGATAGAAGGAGCTGGAACCGGAAAGGTGGAAGGAAAATGCGCAAGTTGGCAGACTTCTAGATGATAATACAGTGGAGCGAAATGTGTAAGTGGGGCTAAGTCGAGCCGCATACTGAAGACCTGATAGGAAGAGGAGGAGGGAGGGGGAGAAAGATAAGCCAGAGAGGCAGTGGATGAGCACAGGGGGCAGTGGATGAGCACAGGGGGCAGTGGATGAGCACAGGGGGCAGTGGATGAGCACAGGGGGCTTGGGAGGGTGAAAGGCTCTTCTATAGCTTTGAGGTACAGGGGATCTGGGAAATGCAAAGCGTTCCTGACAGTTAAGAATCGGATCATCTGTAATGTGCTTTGACAGGTGCGACTAAAGACTACAATCCCCTTTTAATTCATTTTGAGTGCCCAACTGTCCACCTGACTTCAGTTTTGTCCAGAGACTGGACCACGTGGGCCTTGGGATTTATTAGAGCTACACATGGCAAGTTATAATTTACCAAGTACTTTAATATTTAATCTTGCTTGATCATTTTAAAACCCCTGTGAAGAAGTTAAGACAGGTAATTTTCACCCCCGACTTCTCAGATGACTAAATTGAAGCTCAGAGAGATGAAATGACTTGCTCACAGTCCCATGAAGAGGCACTGGCCAGAGTCAGGGAGCCAGGCAGAATTTTGAGCAGGAAGACCTGGGTAAAGGGTATCAGTCATTCTATTTGCTTTGCCGTCAGATCTAGCAGATTCAAACACAGTGGGGCCGTCCCATCCTTCTGCCAAAACCCGAGTCGGAGAGCAATGCCCACTGGGGCTTGGACCTTAAAGCAAAGCACAGAATTGAGTTCTTATTACCCGGTAACAAAGGAGTGGTCGCCCGGCTCCCCTCCCAGTTCAGCTTTTCCCATGTCTCCTAGCTCTCGGGGCTCATTCGGATCTCTGGCTCTTCTATTTTCTGTGTCCCTTTTCCCCTCACCTCCTGAGGCTGTAACTCTCGGCGGAGTGGGTTCTCAGGCCCTTTGCTGGCCTGCAGCCAGGCAGCTGAAAGAATGGTGTCCAGACAGCCTGGGAGGCCTGCTGCTGCTGAACTGTGGGTGGAAGGGCCAGTGAGGAGAAGTGAGTGTGCAGGAAAGCCCGCAGATGGGGTGGGGGTGGGGGGCTGCCTGCCAAGTTTTGCATGCTTATCCCGGTGAGCCTCTGGGGATGGTGACTTACTGTTGTGTAAGCCACTTCTGGTCTGGGGAGGTAAGACTTAGCTTGGGAAAGAGTTTTAATTAGCCAGTCATAGGAATACCTATGAAGTGGGGGGGGGGGGGGAAGAAGGGGTGTGGGGAGGGACTCCATGCACTAAGATGTGTCTTGCAGGGATGTTTTTGGAGCATTGGAGGTCAATCGATCGGGAGATCTCCTGACTGGCAGCCAGCAGACCTGGCTGTTCTCCAGAGCCTTCGTGTTGATCATAGTGTAGAAAGACTTCCTATGAGCTCCTTGCCGTGTCAGGGCTTTGGGGTATTGCTGTTCAGACCACACCGTGGCCCGTGTGGGCACCCAGGGCCTGTTTCCCATGACGGGCTCCTTATGTTGCTGTCGCCCCTTCCCTTCCCGTTCACCCTGGGGAGCAGAGCTGTCTCTTCTTTTGGTTGAGAATAGGGGTCAGGCATCTCTGCTGTCCTGGTGGAGGGCCCCCGTCCTTGCTCTGGCACAACCGTGATTCTGGATCTGTGGATCCCCACGCAGGTCGCTCACGCATATAGCCAGCGTGGTTCTCCTCTTGGGCTCTTGTCAGGAGCTAGATAGCAAAAGATCACGGGAAGCTAACCTAGCACCCGCTAGTCATCTAGGACTCTGGGTTACTCAAGTTCTGGCTTCGTAGGAAGTCATCTGTTTTGGTTACCTGCTGTGTGCCTGCCAGTCTTCTAAACTCTGCATGTGAGTTATCTTATTTCTTTTGTGAGATAGGTACTCTTAATGCTCTTCATTTTCCAGATGGGAAAACAGAAGCTTGAGGGACATAAGTCATAATAAGTGGAACTTAACCCAAGGAGTCTGACTCTTAACCACTCCATTTTACTGTTTTCCACCAGGAAGTTGCATAACAAGGAGTTGCCTTGTTCTCCCAAGACCTATTTGCGATGGGGTTCTCCTGCCCTTGTCATTTGGGGATGGAGAGCTCCTTAACTCTGTATGACCCAAGTCACTCTGACACAGATTTTCCTTCTGTTCCTCTCACTGTCTTTGTAGGATCTGTACTGACTCCGTTATATAGTTGGGGAAGGAAAGGGCCCAGGGAAGTGGGGTGCCATTGGTCACACCATGAGTCAACAGTGCTACTGATACTGGAACCGGGCCTCCTGCCGCCTCGTCCCGAGCTGTGGCCACTAACCTCTGTTGCATGAAACTCCTGGAAGGAACGTGAGCCTCTAGACTTGAGCTGCTCCAGCCACCAAGTGCAATGAAAGGCATCTCAGGAATGCGGGTGGTTGTGTGAAAGGATCCGGATTGTCAGGAATGAGTTCTGTGTGACTGGGAAGGCCTGCCCAGGACTGTTGGTGGGCGTGTGTCTGCGGAGGGGGTGTTCGTGCCCGCGTCGTTCAGACTTCTGTGAGAAAGGAAGGCTGGGAGTGGGTCTTTTCCTCGCCCAGGGGCATCCGGTGGAGACGTTTCCTCATGACCACGGCCACGGCATTCTGCTTCCCCTCCTCAGGCGGGATAGTGATAGTATTCATGTGCAAGGCCTCCGGCCTCTTGCATGGTCCCTTGACCTCTCCTGTGGAGTGGATGTCGCCCTCCTGTCTCGTCCTCCCAGCCCCGGGAGAATGAGGCTGTCGGCCCTGATTAAGTGCGACTGTACTTAATAGCGCAGCGGTGCGTGAAGTGTTGGTGATTAACAAGAGCTGCAGGAATCTCCCTGGTCTCTTCACGGGCAGCTCCTTGAAACCATTTTGCCTGCAATCACAGCTCAGTTGGTTTGGGTTAGGAGAAATTTCTTCCTCCTGTAATGCTGTCACCATCAGATGAGGGGCCACAGCTGAGAAGTCTCATGGTCCGTCCTTGAGTGCTTGCAATGGATTTTGAGCGATGATGACAGTCGTGGGCTAAACAATAAGTCACTTGCCCGGCCAAGTTTACAATGAAGGAGAGGGAGGTCTTACACTCAGGACAAGAGCCTGTTTTTTTATGTCTTAAATGTTGGGGTGGTGGGATGGGGTTGGGAAGTCAAAATAGAGAAACCACAGGTCTCCGAACTCATCTGGTCCAAACCTCTCTGTTTATGGATGAGGAAATCGGCTCCTGGAAAGGTGAGTGGGCTTGCTCACGGTCACGTGGGTGGTTACTGCCAGTACCGAGGTTATAACCCAGCCTTCTTTCCTCTGTGGTCCTGTGGTTCGTGGACTAGCAGAGCACGAGGAAGAACCCAGCAGTCTACTGGAAATTTTAAGATCCCCTATGTCCTGTCGATGTCGAAAGTCCCACTCACTTTGAAACTAAACTTTCCCTATAGTGAGCAATATTCTGGTGTCCCAGGCATTGCCTCAATCAAATTACAGATCAAGACCATTCCATAACCTGTTGGACAGAATCCCCACCCATCTCCCGTTTCAGAGCCTTCATACCTCGGATCTTCCTCTGTGTAGAATTCCAAATATATTCTCTTGCTTCAGCATTGTGAATTCTATACACTGCAGTCATTTGATAGATACAAGCTTAAATCTTTTACAACGGTTTAAAAAGGGAGCAAAGCACATTAAAGAAACATGCCCTTCAGTTCTATTTTTTTGTTGCTGAGACTGGTAGCTCAGGTCAGGGTAAGGGCACTGGACTTTATTGCTGTGATAGATGAGAAGAATTATAAACCCAGGAGCTGTACTGGAACGGACTTACTGGACTTCAAGTCCCCTGGAATTCAGAAGTACTCAGCAGACAGGTCTCCAGTGCGGGGTGCGGAGGCAGTAGATGAGAGTGGAGAAGCCAGGGCTGTGGACTAAGGGGGGGCTGCACCACGTTTCCCTCTTCCTGTTGCCTTTGCCATCTTCATCTTCATGATGAACACCTGCTCATCCCTTTCCTTACTTACCTGAAGACTCCTTACGTCATCTCCAGGAATTGTGAAATACAGCTTTTTCCAGGACAGTGAAATGCGGAGCAGTGCCCAGGGTCATTCATTCCTTAAGTCAGCTGTGGAATCAGACGGATAGCTACCATTCTTCACGTGTATGTTGCATTCGGAAGATTCTCCATGTCTACAGGGCCAACCGACAATGGGGTCCCCTAACATGGGAACAGAAGATAAAAATCATGACCGACTGTAGTTTTTCCCTGGATCAGCGAAGTACAGGGGCATCAACCTTTTGATTTCTGTCTTCCTGAAGCTACCACTGCAGGCTCTTGTGTGCTTTTGAGCGGCCGCCCACTCTCACGGAGAACATGGCCTTAGTTCGTGGTGGCCGCTGCAGTTCACCGGATACCGACACCCGTTAGGCGTTCGTTGGCACCTACAAGAGGACAGCGGTTGGTTGTGTCTTGACCCCTGTGCTGGACGGAGGGATGGCCTTGTTGGGGGGCGGGCGGTGAGAGGGAGGGAGGCTTTGTCAGCATGAGTAAGTAGAATGGTCTAAAGAAGCATTTCTGTGTGTCGTGATGGTAAGTGGTACAAAGTTGTAAGACCACTTCCTTTCCAGGTCTGTTTCACAAAATTGCCTGTAATCGGCACTCTCCTGAGCTGCTGTGCTCCCCATCTGTGGCCGAGAGCCACTCCGAGAGGTTAGATATTCCTTCCCAGCTTTGAAAAACATCAAAGCGACCACAGCCAGCCTAATCTTGACAACTGAAAGCCCACAGATGCTTTGGGGCTGCTGATGGAAAGTGGCTTTTGGACAGGAAGATTTGATCCATGTGGCCGAGGACTTTCAGGGGGCTTTTGTGAGACTAAACTGGATTTGTCCAGAAACCGTGCAGTATAGGGATGCTTTGTAAAAATCTAGCAAATTCCAGAGAACGGCCAGGTTCTGGAACTGGAGAAGGCCGCCTTCCCAGCATGCCGCTTGTGTGTTCTGCTCTGTGCCTGGCTGCCTTGACATCTTTTCATCTCCCCTTTGATTTCCAAAGGCCCGTTTGTGATCATGAGGTGTGAGCAGCTCCTTGTGACCCGTGGGGACCTATGGAAAGGGTTCTTTTGGGAAAGCTGCTTTTAGTGAGAGTCCTCCCTCGTGGACTTAGACATGGTATATGAACTATTAAGTCTTAGCACATGTGAGCCCTGCATTCCCGGGCGGCAGGCAGAACCGGTTGTCTTGCTTGGAAGGCCAGAAGGCCTGGTCCCTGGGCGGCGCAGGCGCAGCCAGCAGGAACCAGCATGGCTGTGCAGATGGCACCAGTGGGGGGAGGGATAGGCCCTGCCTGGTGCGGGTTGGCCTTATATGGGAATCCGAGCCATCTTCAAGTCATTTCCCCCATCAGGGTCCTTACATGGAAATCCACTAAAAGTAGACTTCCCACTGGTGAGGGGAGGCAAGCCTGCAACGTCAGAGGGCGCCTGAACTCACACAGCCATTTCTGAGAATTGGGAGCCATCTGGCGTCTTCCAGCTTCTAGAGTGCTGAGAAGAGAGGCCAGTTCTCTCACGTGTTTCCAGTCCTCCTGTAAAGCAGGTAGCAGGGTAGCTTGATTCCGTGTTCAAGTTCAGAGGGCTCCTCATGGAACATGCCTCTGTGCCCTTTTGCTGCGAGTGGAAATACAACCTCCATTCAAGGGGAGTAAAGCACAAATTGAAAGGAAGCCACTTAGCAGCCAATGTGCAAATCTAGAACTCTAATCCGACAGTCTCCTCGTGGTGGCAACCGTCACACAGGCACAGACCAAACATCATCGGGCCGGCGGCTTCTCCTGTGTTGCGCGCTGTGGGGAGAGAGGGTGGTTTAGCCTTTTATTTTTGATGCTCACATACGTAGTCAGAGGCAACTTTCTTAATATCTTTCTGTTGTTGACAAAGTAAGCCCAGCCATTCCCGTTTATTTTCTGTCTTCGTTGCCTTTTGGCACCAAAACCTGTCGGTGAGCACTCGGGGTATGCCGAGCACCGTGGGAGGCGCTCTCTGGCATGTTAGTCCTACAGGTACCCCTCCGGGTGGTGGAGGAGAGGTCACAGACCTCACTGAGTCGCCCCTTCAGGTGGCATCACAGGCAGGCATAGAATAGCTGTCAGGAAGGGCAGGTAGGAAGGGGGGGCCCTGAGGCGAGGAGGTGGGGTGCCATTTCCAACACAGGGAAGGCGGGACCAGTGAACCTAATAAAGTCCGCATTTCCTGCCTCTTCAGGGAATCCGAGGTGAGGGTCAGCTGCTTACGAGAGTGAGTGTGCTAACGTGTGAACGTGAAGCGTGGAGAAGACTAAGCATCAAAACCAGGCCACTTCCTTCTGACCATTTTGGGCCTGTAAATAGTTGGTTGCAACTGGTGGGTATGTTCCGTACGCTTGTCCTTGATAAAGGTGGCAGAGATGTGAGCCACAGTCTGGGTTCTTCAGAGGTCGGTCCTGAGGGTGTTCCATGGCCCAGCTTGGGATGCAGGAGAAATGCAGGTCCTCTGAGAAGTCATTTCCTCCTGGATCGAAATCTGAGCGCTCCCTTTCAAAGAGAAGATGAGAAATCCCGTCCCTACCCCTGTCTAATCCTATAGACTCGGGGGCACGTGTGTGGGGACCTTTCGACTTCTGACATCATCCTCAAAGCTAGTTCAGTGAAGTACCTGTGGCTTCCAGGGACGGTGGAATTTGCCACCTGTCCTCCTTGGGGGAACCTGAGATTCTATAGCCACAGACGCTATAGTGAATGTGGAGCTTGGCTAGGTAGGCACAGCTGACCTGGAGTCAGGTCATCCAAAATGCGACTAATCTCAGACGCAGGCGTAGGGGGACAGCCACGGTTAAATAAACTGCTGTCAGTGGTGGTGGGGTGTTTGGGGACCTCAGGGGACAAGGAGCAGTGAGCTGAGCTCACCCAGCCTGTAGCTTGCCCTTGACTCAGTCTTTGGAAGACAGTGAAAGTGGGCTGAGGATGCAGTCGGTCGGCTGTCCACTCTGGGGGCCAGGCCCTGGGGACCGTGGTTGTGGTTCTTCCTCAGAGCCTGTGTGGGTCCCTTAAGACTGTAGGGGACGCGGCTTCTTTGTCCTGTGTCCTCTCCAAGTTAAGGACAGCGAGAGTCAGGCTCTGGTCTTGGGCTGTTAAAAGCAGCAGTTAAATAGCTCCTCAGCCGCCCACCGCCACGCCAATAAAGAAAGGAAGGAGGAAAAACGGCAAAGAGAAATAGCCACGGGACAGATCCAAGGGAGCAATGTCTTTAGAGCGAGACTGGGAAGGCTGTCCTTAGTTAAGCTTGCTGCCAGTGGTGTTCTAGCGGACTTGAATTCTGGGCTTCGCTGGCTCTGCTGTTTAGATGGCGGCTTCTCGGCCCCTCCTCCCCACCGCCCCTGGTCTGCTGGAGACTCACCATTTCCAGCAGGAAAGAAGTGAGGGCTGGGTTGCTCTTCTTATGGCGAACCCGTTGAACATTTGATTGTGGTTGGAAAGGAGTCGGAAGGCTCTCGACCACTTTTGTTAAACCTGGGAGGATGAACTGGGCTAAGTCCAGAATTGGGGTATTTGCCGTCTGTCCTTCCAGTTGGTTTATTGTTACAGAACCGTGGTGAGTGTCTGTTTTCTGGGCCATTTCAAGAAGAAAACTATCTCTGCACTCCTCTTGGTGAGCGTGTGGACGTCAGAGCCACGTTAGATGTTTCCACCTCTTTCCTTTGCCGGCTTCATGGGTTTCTGTCCACAAGGCCCCAGCACGTCCTCTTCTGCCCCTGGCCCTTCGTGTGTCCTTGCAAAGGGTCCCCGTGCCCCACGCCCTTCACTTGCTCTTTTCCTTTCTCCTTCCCAGAGCCAAGCTATGCGAATTGTGCGGACGGTCGGGCAGGCCTTCGAGGTCTGCCATAAGCTGAGCCTCCAGCACACGCAGCAGAATGCAGACGGGCAGGAGGATGGAGAGAGCGAGAAGAACAGCAGCTGCTCAGGGGACCCAGGTAGGCACCTGGCAGGTGCATGCAGTGGGCGTGGACGGACAGGAGGTGGTGTTGGCGGCGGAGGGTGGGGGGCACCCAGCATGGGGCCACGCCTCCCTCCACCAAGCCCCAGGCAACCAGTCCACTTAAAAAACATTTTAGTGTTTCTTTTTCTCTCTGGATTCCAAATTTTCTTTAAGGAACACGTGTGGCTTTCCTAATAGAAAATTAAAGATGTTTATCGAACAAGGAAGCGTTTGAGTGGCTGATGCTACCAAATCTGACCCCCAAGAAAACTTCAGTACAAAATCACCTTCATAAAACAAATTAGAAAGAAGATAGTTTCTAATTACCTTAATAGCTTTTTTCCTGTTTTCTAAATTCTGTAGTCCTGTGAACCTTCCATGTGGACATTTTTCCAATACCTCTCATTTTGAAGTATCAGGAAGCCTGAACATCTTTTATAAAAATGCGAATTCTCCCATTCACCTCTCACTTTAACAGAACAATACAAATTTCTGATGGCAAAAGGGTCACAATGGAAAGCTATCATATTCAGAACCTGGGGGACACAGATAAAGCAGTGTGCAGAGGAAAATCCAAAGGTTCGACTGTTCATGTTAACAGATAAGCAATCGTGAAGATCAAATTAGTGAAGCATCCAACTCAGGAAGTCAGAAGACAACAAAGTAAAATCTCACGCTGCAAAGGTCTGGAGAACGCAGACGGTTGGTTTTCCTTCTGGCAGCACCAGTCCCTGGCTGTGTGATCTGGGGCAAGTTAATAACCTCTCTGGGCCTTAGTGTCCTCTTTGGAAGAAAACAGGAGTAAAGTCCACCTCATTGGATTATTGTGACCACAGATGAGCAGATACATGTGAAATGCCTGGTACATAGTAAACACCAGATACATGTTAGCTGTTATTATTGTAACAGAAAATAAGGAAAAATAAGAATAGAAGAATTTCTGGAAAAGATGAGTGATGACAGATGAGTGGCTTCGTAGACATAAAAACATAAAGCTATACTAGGTAAAACTGTACCATCACATGAACGCGTCCCTGGGTAGATCAGAATAGAAAGCTTAGACGTAGACCCAGACACGTACAACATGTGATGTTATTCTAGATGTTGCTGGGAAGGTATTTTTCAGATGAGATTAACATTTATTTTTTTTTTTAAGATTTTATTTGCGAGAGAGGGAGGGAGGGAGGGAGGGAGAGCACCGAGGGAGAGGGAGAAGCAGACTCCCTCAGCCCCCGCTGAGCAGGGAGCCCGACGTGGGGCTCAGTCCCAGGACCCTGAGATCATGACCTGAGCTGAAGGTAGACATTTCACCGACTGAGCCACCCAGGCACCGCAAGACTCACATATAAATCAGAGGCTTTGGATAAAGCAGAACACCCTCCATAATGTAGGTGGGCCTCAACCAATCAGTTGAAGGCCTTATTAGAACAAAGGGGGATTCTGCCAGTAGATCACCTTTGGACTTGGACTACAACTCTTCCGTGGGTCCCTAGCCTGCCCTACAGATTTTGGACTTGTCACACCTCCACAATCACATGAGCCAGTTCCTTAAAATCAATGTGTCTACGTGTAGTTCCCTGATGCAATTTCCATCACTCTGCAGGGCTGTAGCCTCATTTACACAAGGAGGAGAGAGGCTCTGCTTGGGATGCCAGTAGGTTATGTAGACAGCACATCCGATCCGTGCTGGACCTCCTTAAGATATACTCTCAGGTCTTTGACGTCTTAAACTTTGAAGAAACTATACCAGACTGATGTTTCTTTTTTTTTTTTTTTTAAGATTTTTTAATTTACTTAGAGCAAGAGAGCACAAGCAGGGGGAGTGGCAGGCAGAGGGAGAAGCAGGCTCCCTGCTGAGCAGGGAGCCCAATGCAGGACTCGATCCCAGGACCCTGAGATCATGACCTGAGCTGAAGACAAGACGCTTCACCAGCTGAGCCACCCAGGCGCCCCTAGACCAATGTTTCCACATGTAGAACATCATTTGTGTTACATCTTGGGGAGCAGGTATGCAGAAGAAGCCAAGTAGCTGAGGTCTCGTGTATATTAATGTTCTTTGAGAAAACGATCACTGAGAAGGTAATAAGGAGAGAGGTGACATGGCTGGCGGGCCTGTTATTTCCATGCTGACCGTCCGCTACAGCGGGAGGGCCATAGCCACTGTCACCACTGCCGTCACCAGCTCTCTGCTCAGCCCGTCGGTCTTGCCCCGAGACCCCACTCCCGTGATTCCACCTGCTGCCTGCCCCAACGGCCATCATTCTGAATAACATTTCCTTTTCCTCCAGCTTTCTTGTTCTAGGAATATGGTGTATTACCTGTAACCTACAAAATATGTGTTGATCAACTGTTACTGATATGGCTATTAACAACAGTAGGCTATTAGTTACGTTTTGGGGGCATCAGAAGTTACGTGTGGATTTTCAGCTGCGTGGGGTTGTCGGTGCCCTAATCCCCGTGTTGCTCAAGGGCCAACGGTATGGTACTCTAAACACATATCACATAGTAGCCAGTTCTGTGGCTCTGTGTCGGAAACGCATGACCTACCCGATCTAGGCAGTGTGGGAAGGAGACAGGAGGGTCTCTCGAGTCCCATGGTCTTAGGGCGGGTCTGAATTCAGTGATGGATTAGGATGCCCTCGGATGGCAGCGTTTACCCTGAAGGCAAGCCTACTTAGGTACTTAGAGTACTAGCGTTTGGGAAGCCACAGATCTGGGATGGGAAACCTTTCTCCCTCAAGGAAAGCTGCTTACTGCCCGGCCCCATTGTCCCTTGCTCTTTATGGCCCCACCTGCTTGCTTACGGGCTGTAAACCACTGGGAACACGTCTCTTCTGTCCGTAAGTGCCTCCCCCAGAAGCATTTACTGACTGCAGTGGGATTTTCGTCCGTCACGGGGGACCTCGAAGCACCAGAGTAGAACTGCTGGTTGTGTGTGTGCGTGCGTGTTTTGTTACGAGCATCATCTCGCATCCGTGCTCGGGAGCTTTCCGTTTAATGCCGTGGGTACCTTTGCCCCGGCGCCGCCCCACGTGACGTGGCAGCAGGCCCGTGACAGCACAGGGGAGACCGGATTCCTCTGACGACTTGGACTGCGCACGCGCTGTCTTTGATGTCTTGTCCGCCCTTTGCTTTCTGGGTTCCAGCAGTGCTTTTAAGATGGCATTCACCTTCCTCGTCCCCTCCTTGCCTGCCTCTTTCTTGCCTCATTCTTTCCACCGGGGCCCCACCCTCGGGGAGATTTATCTTTGGTATCTTTTGGCAGCCACCGCCTTGGGTGCGTCCCTGGGGCTCAGAGCCAGGTGGGGCCAGGGCTCCTGCTCGGCCTGCCCTGCTCTGCCTCGTGTGGTTTCTTTGACTCCTGGAGAGGGTTTCCTGGGCGAGATCCCGTTCCCTTGGAGGCCTCCTCCTCCTCCCACGGCAGCCATCCAATGTGGGGAAGGGCTTGGAACGCTCGGGAGGAATAGAGCTTCTTGAAAAGAGAGCTCTGGCCATCTAGACGGCTGGGAATATTTATTCTGCGTACCTGTTGCATGTGCTGCTCACTCCGAACGGCGAGCAGGCTGCTGACCCGTCCCGTCTGCGCCCCCACCTCCCCCTTCTCCTCCAGCGCCGGCGACCGCCGCCCCATCTGTCTCTCCTTGGTTTTAGCGCCCTCCTTCATTCAACAGATGTTCATCTCGCCCCCCTCCCCCCGCAACGTGCCAGGCTCAATTCTGGGTGAACTGAACAGCGGGACAGGTCCCCGATGGCAAGGAGCTGGCTTTCAAAGTCGGGGGTGGGGGTACGGACCCGTGACAAATACACCAGATCACCTGGGAGTGTGTAAGTGAAGACGGTGAGGGCGGGGGCGTGGGGGGTACTGCAGGTGGAAGTAGCCAGCCTGTGGGGAAGGCAGGATGATACCACCGTGGTTCAGAGCACCAGGCCTGGAGCCCCGGCACCCACCTTCCCAGCTCTGTGCCTCAGTTTATCTGTCAGTGCCTGGACTGCCTGGAGGGTGGTTCTGGGATAAACGATTTTTACAGGTAAAACCCTTAAATTAATGCCTGGGAGGTAGTAAGTGCTATTTAAATTTAAGCTGTTACCAGTGCAGTTTTGAGGCCAAAAAGTGGCCATGTCCAGCACTTCGTGACTGAGCTAATAAACTCCTCTTCTTTTTTGAAACCATTTTATTACCATATCCTTGACATGTGACAGGTTCTGCACTGACCCAGCAACGCCTCTCCGTTGAGCCCCCGATGCTGGCCCGTCCCCGGGAAACCAGCCTTCCACAGGTCCACCCCTTATGCTCCCCCAGGGCCACCCTGCTGCTTGTCTCCAGCTTCTGCCCCACGGTCAGTGTCATCATCCCCTGCCCCGCCCGCCCCCGCCCGGCCGGGATTACCCTTCACCTGCTTCTCCCTGAGCACCAGGCCACCAGTGCTGTCTCTCCCGAGCGGTCACCTGAGTCTTCTGCAGCTGCTGGCTTCTTCCCCACGGCGGACAGATAAGGTCAAGCCTCTCATCGTCAAAACAAAACCAAATCCAGCCTTCCTTGCCCCTGCGTCTCCCCCAGCCTTATCTTTCCCTCATCGTTCAGCTTCTTGCCAGATTTATCTGCACTCATATAGCTTTTTCCTTCTCCCCCCCATCCTGGCCGTTATCCCTCCAGCCTCCGGCAATGCGGTGTCTGCTGCCTGCCAGCCCTTCTGGAGACCACCAGTCAAGGTCACTGAGGCCCCTAGCCAACAACCTGAACCAGCCTTTGTGTGCCGAGTTCACCACGGGGCAGGAAGCGCTTGCCCCGCCCCCACCCCGCCCCAGCTTCTGGGGCACCACCCCATATGCACGCACAACCTTTTTTTGTTGATCTGCTACTTGCTTTCCAACATCCTTTGCGTTTCTCCTGGGCTCGGTCCCTGGTGCTCTTCCCTGACTTGCCCGTGGTCTCGACTGATGTTTATTTCCTGACCAGACCTTTTTCCTGAACTCTCCGACAGCTGATGGGTATCTCCACTTGGTTGTTACAGACCCTGTGATTCCAGCAGGTTTAAAACTCCATCTTACCCACAACCCTGCTCCTCCCGAAATTTCCCTAAAGGGCACCAGTCCCTACCAGGTCACCTAAATCAGAACTTTCAAAACTCAATTTACGCATATTCCTCTCTCCCTCCCTCCCATTCCCACGGCTCTCTCTTCCCCCACCACCGGTATTCTGTCACCCTGTCCTGTGATTTCTGCGCCCTGCAAACCTTTCGTGTCTGTTCTCCTCTGCTACTGTGGCCCTCTTAGCCTAAGCCCTCCTGTTTCTCACCTGGAGCGTTGCTTTCTCTCTTGTCCCTTCTAGATCTGTCCCCCACATCACTTCTAGGGTGAAATTTGAAAGGATGAAAACCCTTTGGTATTACTCACCTGCTTTCAGTCCTTCAAGATAAAATCCTGACTCTTCCTGGTTGGGTCCCTCCGTACAGAGTCGTTGGCAGTGAATACCTCTGTATCTTTGCCCCCACCTAGAACGCCTTCCCAGCCCTCCCTTCCCCAGGACCGCTTCCTCACCTGCCTTAGCTGGTACTCCTTCTCCAGGTCGTCTCCCCTCTGCACGGGTTACCCCCTGCATCCAGGGTAGCTCCCTCTATTGGGACACAGCCTCCTGCTGCATCCATGGTCTCTGTCTGGTTCCTCCATCAGGCTGGGGAAGCCTGGAAAAAACACACAGCCCAATCTCCTAAGTTCCCTGGTTTTGCTAGAAGGTTTTTCGTATCGTTTCTGGTCCTTTAAGCTTCTTGATGCCAGGAAAGTTGCAAATACGAGATATTCCCCCCTTGTCTGTCGGGACCTGAGGAAGACCATTAGCTGTGGGTCCACCCTCTAAATCTTGCCTTATCCGATATGCTAACAGGCACGGCATCCGGAGCATTCCGTCTACCCCAGCTTTACCCTCCTTGTTCTAACAGGTCTGTTACCATCCTGACTTTCACCCATTAGCCATTGTCCAAGCTCAGGGCTTCAGAGGTGATCATCAGAGAGCCCATGGGGTGGCAGGAAGTCCCTCAGAAAGCGGGTCCTGTGGTTTGTGACTCCCCTTCCTCAGCTGTGGTTTGTGACTCCCCTTCCTCAGCTGTGGTTTGTGACTCCCCTTCCTCAGCCTTGGTTTGGGGACTCCACTAGTACCAACGGAATGGCCGAGAAGTCTATGACCCCCTCAGAAACAGAGCAAGAACCCGAGAGAATTTCTGATCCCTCCAGGCTTCTGGCCTGGGCATCTCCAAACGCTTTGTGTCCTCGGTATTGGGGACTCCAGGAATGGAGGGCCGGGGGGCCCCCAGCAGCCTTCTTCTGTAGCCCACTCCCCTGTTTCGCCGACCTATCATGACACTCTTTCCTTTGTTAGTGTTTACTGAATACCTTCTCCATGCCAGAGCCCTGGGAAACATGAATGAGACCCAGCCCTGGCCTCAAGACTGAGGGAGGTTGGGGGCGGGGGGGTTGGAATAGAAGGCCAGGCACGCCCAGTCCCAGGTGCCAGGTACACCAACAAATGGATGCATGGTGCTGCGGGACTGAGCCTCTCCTGGGGACTGGGGGGAATCATTTCTGCTGAAAACACATGCATTTCACCCTGTTCATCTCCACACTGGCCCAGAGAACCGATGCTTACAGTCCAGCCCATCCACCTGTGGAGAAGTAGGCACGAGTTCTCCGTCCACCCTCTGTCTCACAGGCTAGCCCTCCCGACCATCAGGAAGGTCACTTCTGGACGCAGGGGTGTGGTGGGAAGCAGCCTGCTCTGTGTCCCCGCCTGCTGGCTCACAGAGGAGCAGAGCCACTCCGCCAGGCTCTGTCCCAGGGCCGTGTCCCAAGTCCTGGAGCAGCTGGGAGGAAAACCAAGCACGCTGGTTGGCTTTCTGAAAACCAGGCTTGCTTCCCCAGTTGACTCACATGGTTTGCAGAGGAAGACCTGTTAGAACTATTTGTTCTAGGGGTACCTGCCTGGCTCAGTTGGTAGAGCACACAACTTTTGATCTTGGGGTGGTGTTCAAGCCCCACATTGGGTATAGAGATTACTTAAATAAATAAATATTTAAAAAAACAAAACAAAAACAAAAAACTATTTGTTCTCCGAGGCAGGCCCTCAGATGACTGAGGCCTGGCTGCTCGGGGAGGGGGTTGGCTCTCTGTATTTCCTGCTGACGTGAACCTCCTCCATTTTACATGTGGTCCTTGGTCTCCGAAATCTTTTAAGAGACCTTATTTGAGTACAGTAGCAATGAGCCTAATTCCAGATGTAGAGAAAGAAAAATACTTCCCAGGAAATGCCCAGGAATGGCCAGGTTTTCATAGAATCAAGAAATAGGAACAGGGAATGAAGGAAAATAAGAAATAGCAGGACTTCCACACACACACACGCTGAGTGCAGCCGCTGTCTTCAGTGGGGAGGCGAAAAGTGGAGTGTGGACAGCCTGGAGAAGACTTGAAACCCAGTCACCCTTCTGTCCCCCCGCTGCTGCCTCCTGCAGTCCCCTTTCCTGACTTCTGTGCTTGGTGACTAGGTCAGAGTCCGGCTCGCCTCAGAGGGGCGGGGGGCTGCCCCCGTCTTAGACGGGGCCTCAGGTCTCCTCAACCTCATTCTTCTGTCACGTACCCTTCCTTGTCCATCTCTAACTCGGCGTCTGATTTTGCCATCGGAGCTGGGGCCCCAGGAGTGGGGCCACTTACCCCTGGTCTGACAGCCCGCCAGGGGCATGGCTGGGGAGCCCCCATATGTCTGGACTCCCAGGTCAGGGCACTATCCCTGGGTGGATTCCACTCCTGAGCTCAGAGGAGGTCGAGGTGACAGTCACCCCCGTCCCTTCTTGAGCCCCTGCACCCCGTCAATATCGACCTCATGCCAACCTGGCAAAGCAGTGGCGTCCAGCCTCAAGGAAACCTCATTGTTGTTTCTGGACTCTGAAGAGAGATTAAATAGGAACATCTCACCGGTTTAGGAATGAAGGGCGGGTGGAGAGATCAGGAAGCCAGTGGTACTCTCTGGGCCTGACGTAGCCGAACGTGAAGTGCCAGGAAGGGAGGAGGACCTTGTTCTTGACAGCGCCCTGCCCTTCCCTCTGTCGCCCTGCAGGCCGCCAGCTCCCTGGAGCCGAGAGGGCCTCCACGGCCACCGCGGAGGAGACGGACATCGATGCAGTGGAGGTCCCGCTCGCAGGGAATGACGTCTTGGAATTCAGCCGAGGTGTGACCGACCTTGACGCTGTCAGGAAGGAAGGAGGCTCCCACCCGGACCCCAAGGTAGGCGGGAGGCGGCGCATCGCCCGGTCTGCGTGCACACGGCCTCCCAGAGCAACACGGGCTGTGGCCTCAGCCACTGTCAGAGTCACGTCCTCGCCCATGCGGGGTCAGCGTGGGTGACAGAGCAGGTTTCCTCTCCTCTGAGAGGGGCCAAGTGCCAATGCCGCTGGCTTACGCCTGACGAGCGTCGCCCTCCAGGGGCCCCGCGGCGCTTCCTGGCCGTGCTCCCTGGTGGTCCTGCCCCGCCGTGGCTCCACATCCCAGCCTGGTGCCTGTGCAAAGCTAATCCTCACGCGCCACGACTGATCCCCAGAGTGGAGTTCGCTCGGGCGCCCTCCGCCTGCAGGTAGCGACTGCTGGGGCGCTCCCACACGCTGGTGCCGCTGAGGCTGGCGCTTGGCCCCTTGGGGGTTAGAACCTCGGGCATCATCAACTCCAGCCTCACGTCTTACAGCTGAGATGACGGGGCTCCCAAGGAGTTCCTGGTAGAAGCCAGACTGGGACACTAAGAACTGGGGAGCGCATTCCAACCTGAAGACACAAGGGAAAAGCCGGGAGGAGGAGGCTGAGAGGCAGGACTCCCCGCGTCCTGGCCACCTCGCCTTCCTGTCAGGCCTTGGCCTTTTCTGGTGCAGGTTGACGGGCGGCTCATTGGGAGAAGCCCGTCTCCAGTGTGGAGGGTGGTGCGGGCCCGTCGTCTGCCTGACCTTGTCCTGGCGTCATGTGCCCGCCGCAAACCGCCAGAGCCGTCAGTCAGTGGCTGCCTCCCTCCCTCCTGTCTGAGGAAGGGCCAGCAGCAGAACTCCCAGACACAAGACGTCTCTCCCTGAACTTGCTTTATGGGTCACATAAGCCGTCTTCGTGATGGTTCCCACCTGCCAGGAGGGAAGCCGAGGGGGACGGCCCAGGAACCACGTTCGGCCTGCAGAGACGGTCTGTCCAGACCAGCGGCTCTCCCTGCGAGGCAGGGCCGACTGGAGCAGCCCCCCTCATGCAGCCCTGGAGGAGGGAGCCCCGGGGACCCAGCAGAGTGAAGGTGGCAGCGTCCCTCTTCCCGGTCTCGTAACGGGGTGGTGGATGCTAGGCTCCCCAGAGATCAGCCCCCCGAAGTCCAGGTGTGGTTATTGTTGGACGCAGTATGAGAGGCCGGTACGCACCGTCTGCCTCCATCACGTTGGGTCAGTTACTGAGGGTTCCGGCAGCACTGCCTGCCTCGTGGCCCCGGCCCAGGGTCCTGTCCACACCTCCACTAGGAACGCAGCGTTTCACGCCGGCCGTGTCTGTGCCACGTGTGGGAGAGCGGCCACGGCCTGGGGTCACGCCCGTCTTGTCTTCTCCTCCAGGTCTCACCCCGCCCCCAGGAACCCATGCTGGCAGCCTCGCCCTCGCCCAGGATGCTCCTCCCCTCTTGCTCCTCGAAGCCCCCAGGCTGGGGCCCAGGGACGCCGCTGTCCAGCCAGCACCAGATGCAGCTTCTGCAGCAGCTCCTCCAGCAGCAGCAGACGCAGACGCAAGTGGCTGTGGCCCAGGTTCTCCTCCACCTCCTCCCTCCCTCTCAGGCTCCACTCTCATGGGCTTGACATGCCTTTCCTAGCAAGGGGCAAGGGGCAGGTGTAAAACCCAGGGAGCCATAAGGGATCGCTCACGCTGTTGGACCATTGCTTGTTGGGGCGGGGGGGATGCAGTCGGACTGGAAGGAAATGTTCTGGTTTCCCGTGTGTCCCCTGCTCTGAGCTGGGCTTGGCTGGCTTGGCTGGACATTGTTGGATTAAGGACTTGAACTCACCAAGGAACGAGATGCACCCAATTCTACCGTCCCCTTCCTGCCTCGTTTTCCTGGCGTTTGGGGTGGGAAGGGATGCCTCTGGAGTCAGGACAGGTGTGACTTTGTGAAACTGGTCTTGAAAGAGCTTGAAATACGGCTTTGTGCAGAGACCACTGTGGCATCCTGCCTACCTTGTCCACACGGGTTCCCAGCCTCCATCAGCGCTCTGCTTCTTCCAGGCGGGATGTGACAGCATCCTGGCCTCGGAATTCGCTGTAACAGGATCCAACTTATAGGACCTTACGGGCCATATTTGAGGATTGGCTTCAATCTCAGGAGGAAAGTGCTGTATGAGTCCCAAAAGCTTGTCAGGCTGCTGCCTTGTAGAGGAGGGGGAAGCCGGTTCCCCTTGCTGATTCTGGCAGGGATTCCTTCTGCTTGCTTTCCACGGAGGGCGTTATTGTCCACATCTTCCTTGGGACTCGTGCATCTGAACTTCATCTTCGCCGTAGCCGATCAGGGAGCAGTGAGGACGGGATCGCACGCGAACCATTCATAGGCTGAATTCTGAGCCTGAGGGACGGGGTCAGGACCTGGGGGAGGGGAGGAAAGAGCGAGGAGGGTGGGGGCTTCCAGGGCCGGAGGCTGGTGAGCCATCTGGAAAGGCAGCTCCATGTACTGGCCTTCTGGATTTGTGGGACCGTTTTCTGCATTCTAGAATGGCAGGGAGCAGACTTCTCTGGGGAGCGCTTATTGATCCCCGTTGTTTCTCCTGCTTACTCTTCTCATGACCCTTGGGTGGAGCGATCGCCCGGACAGAGCTGTCCTTTCCTGTATGTGCACCCTGAGAAAGCGCCGGCAGCCTGCCTGGAGCAGGATCTGCTGTGCCTTAGTTCTTGCGAAGACCTTCTAACATGGTCTCACACGGACGGGGCCTGAGGCGCCAGGCTCACAGAGGCCTTTTGCAGCCAGGTTGGAGAGCGTAGAATCGGTGAGGCACGGCTCCTAAATGACTTGAGCCTTTTAAGAAATTCTGACCATGAAACAAAAGGACGTGGTGTGCTAATGCTAGGCGTGTTCGCAGGTGTTTCCAGAACAGCAACAAAAAAGAAAGAATGCTGTTAATGGCGTCTTACACGTTGCGGGGGGAAATCACTGCTCTTTGTCAAATAGCAGAATTCATCTCGTCTCCTTAATGGCCATGTGGCAGTCCCGAGAGTACCCTCCTCCCTGGGGTGCCGGCTGACAGGAGCACAAAGCCTGAGTGCCCCAGCGCAGGGCCATTCCACGACTCACATCATTTCCGAAAGTTTCCCCTTGAATACAAATCCATTCCCCAGCCGTAATACTTTTCTCTTTCGGCATATCAATTGCCAAGTAATTATTATTTATCTAAGAAAGGGCTTGATGCATATTCATGATGGATATTATCAGAGAGTCATTTGAATTTGAAGTCACTGCTAAATACTGAAGAGAGACGGTGCGCAGGTCTATAATCTGCACAAGAAGATTGTCGTGGCCGTCTTTGGAAGTGTTCGGTCCGCAAAGCCGCAAGACCCAGAATTTGTCACAGCTTTGCCACCGTCAGCATGAAACCCTAAGAGGGGTTCTCTGGAACAGAATCAGGCCTCTGTCTCAGTAGGATAGCCCTGCTCTGTCTTGATTGTCTCTCTCCTCGAGGACAGTGAGTCTCAGGGAGTCGGGGGGGGGGTTGGGGAGGGAAGAACACGGTGCTTGCGGTTCACTTCATGAACCCTTCTCCGTCCCAGCCTCTTCCACGGGCTGGGAGCCTTGAGCCTCCGACTCTCGATCTGTGGACGGTGGTTGGTGGCGCCCTGGTTGGTGCTCGGTTCAGGCAGGGGCGTGACTGGGAGGCCAGCGTAGCGCATCAGTCCTGGGGCGATGATGGATAGGGTCGGGGACTTGCAGGATCGTCAGTCGGACAGGACCTCGAGGGCAGAGATCGCTTCTGGAACACACGCCTCTCCTGCTTTCTGCCATCCCCAGGAGCAGCTATGGGCAGACCCACAGGTGGCATCTCTCTCTGCTGTCCGGCTTTCGGCTCCTGTGTCCTCTGGCACACTCAGCCCTAAGCCCTTCTCCTGTTCCAGGTTTCTCTGTCTGCTCCTCCTTCTCCCATTCTCTTTGTCGCACTTGATCCAAGGTCTTTTTATTAGTGTTCGTGTCTTTGGGTAACAACAATCATACAGGAGACAGAGGTGGATTAATAGGTCTTCTTGACATCTTCCGTGCATTTAAAATAGATCAGCTCTGGCATACTTGGTTTCTCCGTGTGGTGGGATTGATCTCAGTGTCCGGCATGAGGCCAGCTTTCAGTCATCTTGTCAAACTCTATGGCCACCAGACTGCAAGATTTCTTCATCCCCGTTAAACTGAATTCCAGTGGGCGGTGCTATGAGCTCAACACTGCAGGAGGGAATGCATTTTCCTTTCCTCTGGGAGCATCCAAGTCCTCCTGGGTAGAGCGAAGGTAGAGCTAAGGATACAGAGTATCTTGCAAACAGGTGCACTCTTGGGGTCCCTTGTTGCATTATTTATGTACCCCTCCCCGCCCCCATTTACTGTCATAGGCTGTTCCCATTCTGCTGTTATCCTGGACCTGGGCTTAGATCTCTCTCCTTCTCAGCGTTCTACTTTGGTCTAAGACCTTGAGATCTCTCCCAGCCTCTCCCTAAATTGGTTCAGAGCTGGTCTAGAGGAGCCTGCCCTGGCCTTAGGGGTATAGGGGCAAAGGTGTTGCTCAACCACTCTTAAACATTTCTAGCTCTAGCTCAGACTTTAATGTGTCAACAGTGAATACCCAAGCCCCCTCTGACCACTTCCCCGACCCAGCATGAGGCTTGCCTGGCTGCCCCGGCTTCCTGTGTTGAGTTGGGCCGGAAGTTCAAGGGTGTGAATGACCGTATAGCCAAGCCTTGAGCCAGAGCTGAGTGGTCGCTGGCACCTGCATGGCCTTACGCTGGGCCCGTCCAGCTCCAGAATTGGCCTGGGCACCGCGGCTGACTGGCAGGAGTGAAGGAGACCGGATTCCTTCACGGCTTGCCAACTGCGGGCTCAGCCTGTGAGTGCACCACTGCTGTGTAGAGATCTCTCTTCTCCCCGCTGCTCCTTGCGCTTATCCTGAAACCAGTGATGGGTTACTTACGCTTCGCGATCCTGTGCGCTGCTGTAGTTAGACGAACAGCCCTGAACACACTTCCGCACCCCACCTCCAGGCCCGAGACTTAGCTCTTGTCCCCCTGGCTTCTCCCAGTCGCCAGCACCCCAGGGGCCCTGCCTTATGCATGCTGAGACAGCGCCGCCTGCCTCCGCTTCTGTGTCTAGTTGGGGGGGGGGGGGAATTGCTCTGGTTCTCTCCACGCCATTTCCATGTGCCTGCTCCCTAACTTCAGCCTGGCCCTGCCCCCACTTCTCACGGAGGAGCTGGAGTCCAGGCAAGTAGGCTGGAGAACGAGCGGGCAGTGGTCTGGTGCCACCGGGTGGGCTGAGGGTGGGCGTCAGAGCCGGAGGCTGCAGGGTTGAGCTCCTCCACTCCGGCCGTGGCCTTGCCTCTGACCTCATCTGTGAGCGGGATGGTCCTTGCCGAAGCCCCCACAGCTCTGGAAAGCAGAAGCTAACTCGTACCTTCTCGGAAGTTAGTACGGCCTACTTTTGCAAAAGGGGTTTCGTTCTTTGAAAGAATGGCATGCCGAATCCAGTCACTGTCCCCTCTGGTAGGACAGGAGGGGGTGGTGTCTGCTCTTGTTTTAGGATTGAGGGAAGCAAGCACACAGAGGTAGAGCAGCCTGCCCAAGCCAAGGCTGAAAATAACGCTGCCTCATTTCCGTGCTTCCAAGGGCCAGACCTACATGTGCAAAACCCAGGGACTGTTATATTGCCCCCAATTTAAAACAGTCCAGGCCATTTTATCTCAGCCTGGCCTGGTGTGGGTTCTGCAGGGGCGCACACTGCCACAGAGAGTGGCTTGAGCCTCTTGCCTGCTGCCACTTTGGACGGCCGTAGAGGCAGAGGGGCTCGTTAGCCTGGCTTTAGGCAGCAGTGTGTGCTTTTGCCTTCCCGGGGTTCGAAAACACCTGAAATGTTATAACTCTGCATTTGCAAAGCTGAAATTCTGATTGATTCTGCAAAAGGAGCACTCAGACTCAGGAGCGTTTTCTCATGGCGCTTAGTGCCAGATAGAAACATTCGACTCAAGGGCCGACTTTTTTGTATTGATGGCAGTCTACCGTGGGGAACTTGATTACCTGCAAATGAAGCTCCCAATATCCCCACCCCCGCCCCGGCTGCTGCAGGAGGGGACTCCTCTTGTGTTCCCAGTCCTAATTCTCTGATGTCAGAGTGGGAATCTAGGGATTTTCTTCCGTGAGCCTTTGACGAATGGCCCCTCGTGCTGGAATCCTACATTGCCTGAGCCTCTAGGCAGGCCCCTCAGTTGAGAGCTGGAGAAAGGGAGGTCCAGGTGGAAGGGAATGACCTACAGTTGCAGAGGGAGTCACCAACAGACTGGAACGTTCCAGCTCCTGGTCTGGTGCTCTCAACTGGCCTATTCTATTGGGGTGTCCACATGCAAGATGCAAGGATCCGAGTCCATGGTGTGTGTGTCGGGAGCCCTCTGTAGATGCCAGTTAGCAGGAGATAGACTTCTCTGCTTTTTCTGCTTATAGGCATTGAAAATTTTGTTCCAAATTTCTTGCTAATGTTTCTGTTTCATTCCAAAGAAAATGGAAAATGGATAATTTACAATTCTGCCTGCTCAGTAGATTCCTTTCAATGATAGTCGTGATTGGCATCAGTTACATTACTCACAGATGGAAGGTGAAGGTTGGCCCCTCCCCGGGGGGCGGGGGGGGCGCCATTTCTGGGGGCTTCCCACGGCAATTGTCCTGTTTCTCAGAACCAGCAAGATGGGGGGTGGGGGCGCATCTCAGGTGAAATAGCTCCATGTCTCAGTTTCCAAAGAAGATAAAGGCTTAACAGCCACCCATCATCAGATACCCAGATTAAAATATTGTTGTGGCTTCTTTCCCTCTTCTCAGCGCTCTCTAGATCTTTCCTTAGTTGATATGAGGCAGTAAATGAGGCTGATTTCTAAACCAAAATGTCAGTTGTGTCCTTAGCAGCACCTCCTGGAGGACAGATTTACTTTAGATTCCTTAGGCATCCTCCCCTAGGGGCAAGAAAGGCCCAATCTTAGGAACCACTAATGGAAAGTGGCAACTAATCTCATTAGTGGCTCCCACTTAGAAGCAGAGCCAACTGCAAGGTCAGGTCCTCAAATCTGCCAGGAGGGAAGCAGCGGCTGCCTCCGAGACTGTGGTTCTCCAAGTGCTGGCGGCTGCAAGGGGCAGAGACGCTGGGCTTGGCAGGTCCCTGGGCCAACCTTGGCCAGACTACAGGGTGGATACCATCTTTTACTCCCCGGTAAAATGTGCATCTCTTCAGAGCAAACTGCCCTTCAGAAATCCAGAGCATTTGTTGTCTGAACCAGAGAGTCAGCTAGGTCTTTGGCCCCTCTCCTTTCTTCCTCCTCTCCCAGCCTCCAGCTGACTCACCCCAGTCAGCCTGCCTCTGCCTTTGTCCACACCGTATTTTTCGTCCAAGGAAGCCTCTTTCCCGCAGGCTGCCTTGGTCCAGGCCAAATTCATTAGCTCCCTTAATTCAGGGACCTTCCGAAACCCTCCACGGAGACCCCCCTTTATGCACCACTTAGTGCAGGAATCGCATGGGCGTGAACATGATTGTTGCCTTGTGACTCAGTTTCCTCAAGCCAGGCTCCTGATACAATCACCCCCCCCCCCCCCCCCGCGTTTTTTTTTTTTTTTCCCCTTCCCCCGCCCGCACAAAACCCACCCCCCCCCCCCCCCCCCCCGCCCCGAGCACTGTGGGTGCCATGTTGCCAGCTGCGCGCCTCCCCCCCCCCGCCGTGAGAGACAGTTAATGAGGGTCCCCCTCCTCCCACAGGGGGTGGCTCTGTAAACTGTGTGCTGCCACCCTTCCCGGCTTGTGGGAGGAGGCCCTGCTATGAATCAGTCAGCAAACGTTTGGCCCCTAGCACGTGTAAAGCACCGTCGTAGGTGCCACGGGAAACGAACGAAAAGGGGATGGACGGTCAGGCACGCCCAGAGGCGACAGGACAGACTTTACTACGAACCCCTCGAGAGTGAAGGGCCTCTGGGGGGCTTCCCGCTTCCCTTTACATGCGGGCACGAGGAAGGGGAGAGGAAAGGCCACGTCGGGGGTTGCCGTGACACTCTTCTTAGGTAATGGGTCCGTATATCCGTTTCTGTTTTTCTCTTTTAAAAGATACGATGAGAAAAAGGTTCCTCCCTCCACGTGGCGGGAACACATTAGCTGTCAAGGAGCTCTCCTGACAGGGCTGGGGCGGAGGGGCTGAGGCTCGGCTCTTTTGTACCTCTCGCTCTGGGTGCTGGGCCCTGAGTGGTCGGTGAGCGACACACTGTGGCCCTCACTCAGGACATAGAGAGACACGCCCAGGGCCAAGCGACCCAGCTTCTTGTGGCTACTCCGAATTCCAAGCCCAGGTGCCCATTTTGCCCCAGAAGGGCTTCTTTATCTTGAGTTGAACATGGCAGGTGTCTCCGGTCCCAGCCGAACCCTGGTGACTCTTGGGTGTATTCATGTCCCTCTCTCCTCTCTGTCCTGCCTTCTCCCTGTCTTCTCCACCTCGTCTCTGTAGGTTCACTTGCTGAAGGACCAGCTGGCTGCCGAAGCGGCTGCGCGGCTGGAGGCCCAGGCCCGCGTGCACCAGCTCCTGCTGCAGAACAAGGACATGCTCCAACATATCTCTCTGCTGGTCAAGCAGGTGCAGGAGCTGGAGCTGAAGCTGTCAGGACAGAATGCTAGTAAGTGGGGGCCCTGCCCAGCCTCGCCTCCCTCCGTGGAGGCTCTGGAAAACACCCGTTCTTTTCCCCGAAGCTTTTGGTGGGGTTTTCTTAGACCCCTGCCCTGCCCTGGTGTTCTAGCAGAAAACAGAGGCGGCTCTGTTTGTCCCGTCCGTACACTTCATGGAATTATGAAATGGCAGAGTCAGAGAGGATCTTGGCTCCTTCTAGTCCAGTGTCCAGACTTGACCTTGAATGTCCCTGGGAGTCACTGCCACGTGGTTATCCAGGCTCCTCTCGAAAGGGGCTCAGACACTCCACGTCCTAAGGCAGTCTGTTTCTTTCTTTGTGGGCTTTTCCATTTGAAACATACTGAGCACCTGTTGTGTGTCACGTTGTCTGGGAGCTCGGTGGGAGTCTTCACACTGTACCGGAGTTTACCCTCCCCCGCGCTGTAGCATAGAACTCTGTAGCGTAGAACATGCTGGTAGCAGGTGTCTACTCTGCGGATAAGGCAGGAAAGAACTGGCCAGATAGCGCTGCTGATTCATGGCACAGGTTGCCTGGCGCCCGGCCTGAGATGCCCAGCTGACTCTGGGCTGGCCTTGGAGGTACTAGAAGACAGCACATCTCCAGGCCTTCCTCGTGCTGATTCGTGGCCTGGAAGTGTGCTCTATATGCATGCCGGTCACATAGCCACTGGCCATCGACCATGCCAGAAACCGTGATAGAATTTTACAGATATGATGTCATCTGATCTCTACAGCCATAGATGTTGTTATGCCCATTTTGTACACGAGACAGACTCCGATAGGTGAAGTCACTGGCTCAAGGTTACAGGACCAGCAAGGTGTGGAGCCAAGATTCCCGGGTCTGATTGCAAAACGAATGTATTTCCTATGAGACCAGTAGTTCCCTCAGACTATCCCCTATAGCTTTTTTTAAAAAATGAATATTCGGGGCACCTGGGTGGCTCAGTCGTTGGATGTCTGCCTTCGGCTCGTGTCGTGATCCCAGGGTCCTGGGCTCGAGCCCCGTGTCAGGCTCCCTGCTCAGTGGAGGGCCTGCTTCTCCCTCTCCCTCTCCCACTCCCCCTGCTTGTGTTCCCTCTCTCGCTGTGTCTCTCTCTGTCAAATAAATAAAATCTTAAAAAAAAAGAAATGAATATTCCCGAGTCCAACCTACAGAGGTCATGATCAGTAGGTCTGGGCAGGGCTGGGGCTCTTGCTAAAGTAGCACAAAGGTATAGATTGGGAACAGCCACTGCATTTCAGCACCGGAAGCCTCTCTGGGCTTTTGTCTCTGTTGACGGAGACGCCGCTCTGGCCCTCTCGGTTTGGACCCAGGTTTGGACCCAGCTCGTGTCCCCCCGCCTCGCTGACCTGGCCTCCTCTGCTCTTGTCCCCCTTCCAGTGGGCTCCCAGGACAGCTTGCTGGAGATCACCTTCCGCTCCGGAGGTCTGCCGGTGCTCTGCGACCCCACCACCCCGCAGCCGGAGGACCTGCCCTCGCCGCCCCCGGGTGCGGGCCTGGCCGAGCTGGCCCACCCGGCCGGCAGCCCCCTAGGTAGGCGCGACTGCCTGGTGAAGCTGGAGTGCTTCCGTTTCCTGCCGCCGCCCGCGGGCCCGCTACTGAGCGGCCTGGAGCTCCTCAAGTTCCGCGAGTCGGGCATCGCCTCGGAGTACGAGTCCAACACGGACGAGAGCGAGGAGCGCGACTCGTGGTCCCAGGAGGAGCTGCCACGCCTGCTGAACGTCCTGCCGAGGCAGGAGCTGGGCGACAGCCTGGACGATGAGATCGCCGTGTAGGGTGGGCCTGGCGCGGGGGCCGGAGGGACGCGGGGGGCCGGGGGCGGGGCCGGGCGCACCGCCGAGGATGCCCGCGCGGCGGAGGGCGGTGAGCACCCGGAGGACGAGCGACGTTGGCTCCAGCCAGGGGCCCCGGAGAGCCTGCGGTTTCAGGAAGGGATTAGGACTTTGCTTCGGAGGGTACCAAGGGGGAGCCCTGGGACTCCCAGCGGTGAATGGGCCCTTCTCTCCCACTTGAGACTTGGGAGGGGAGGGCAGGGCCCTCCAGAGGCCCTCGCTTTGCGAGAGGGTCCTTCGTGGGGACCACCAGGCTACCCGAGGACCTGCTGTGTGCGGGCTGTTTCGTCAGGCTCCTCTGTCCTGGCCCGGGACGCCCCGGTCGCCCCCTCCCGCCCCATCTTGTGGTCCCCAGGGCAAAGGAAAACCATCAGGTACCCGCTCAGGTCCTGTGTGTCTGGATATCCAGGATGCTACCAGTTGCCTAACCCTCCCCTGACCTTATGGAAGGAATTCCTTCTCTAGGCAGTTGTGGAGATGATAGATGCTGAATGCTCCGGGCGGTGAGGGACCGGCCGGTGCTTTCAGTAGGAGCGTGGAATTGGGATGTCACATCGGCTAAGCTTTCGGATGACTTGAATCTGGCCATTTTCTCCAGCTTCGGAGGGAGACTGGGATTTGAACGTTGGTCGGGCCCATGCAGTGAAAGGGGCCACAGATGACATAGGTTGGATTCCGCAGGGTGGGAGCCTTGCCCCGCTTCCTGCCTGCAAGCCCAGCCCCTCCGCCTGGAGGCTGGGAAGCTGCCCGCTTCTCTCCTCTGTGTCCTGCCTCAGGGGCCGTGCTGGCCAAGGCTTGTGTAGCACCCTCCCCTCTGAGAAAGCCTCAGAGCCCCTGAGCCCCCAGCCTTACCTCTCAACCCGTCCCCTCCACTGGGGTATTGGTCAGTTTTTACTGCAGAAAAAAACAAACGAGCGGGTAGCTGAGACTATTTCCACTCTTCAGAATCACTGCCACTTCAGTCAGGGACCACAGCCCTGTCCCTCCTTGGCCCATCTGTGTGGGTGCGTGCCTCGAGCACATCTCCCATCTTTGACCATCCAGGCCTTGTCTAGAGATTCCCACCCGGTCCGGCGGGCTGACCGTGGCAGGGAGCCCACGCTCCCTTTGCGACAGGCCGTGAGTGGCTGTTAGCAGATTTAGAAATGCCTTGAGAGAGAGCTGAGCCATTGCTAGGGTCCTGTGTTTGGGGAAATAAGTCTTTATCCGGGACAACAAGCAACAGACCCAGACTGCAGTATTCTTTGAGGATTTGTTGGTAAGGATGGGGTTACTCAAAAAACAGAGTTCTTCAACCCCGACTTTGCTTTAAAATTTATATAAACGAGAGCGTAGCCCTTTTCTTAAAACAGCTGGGTTTCTTCTAGACTAGAAAGTCCAAATGAAAGGAAATAACACGTAGCTTTATGGTGTAGCCTTTGTTGGCGCACCGGGGTATCGGCAGAAATGGGATGGGGTGGTGAACGGATGTGTGCGCGTGCATGTGTACGTACAGGCTTGTATACCCGTGTGAGGGAAGGTGAGTACGTGTGGGGGGGGGGCTTGCGAGAAGTGACGAGAGACAAGAGAATGTGAATCTTCAGGGCGTTTGAACGACAGCAGAGTTGTGTTGTTTCCCTAACATGTATTTAGTTGGAGAGGGGTGGTTCTGTTTATTTTGCTGTCTTTTCTGATCAACCATTGGATGGAAGTAGGTTCAGATACACAAGGAAGAACCAGGAAGCTGAGAGCCCCAAACAGAGGGAGGGATGTCAGGAATCCGGTGTGGCGGAGCCTAGCCGGCTTCCCAGACCCTCTCCTGGGTGTGGCCTCTCAGAGTGGTAGGATCTTCTTGAGTGTTCGGGGGGGGGGGAGCGGAAGGTCTGGCTTCTCGAGGCCCGCTGCTTGTAAGCAGGAGCTGAGGGTGAAGCCAGGGGCCAGTGGATTGGGTTTGTGGAATGTGGCAGGAGAGGGAGGGCTGGGGTGGGGAATAGTTTCTGAAGGGTCTAGAGAAGCTTGCAGAGGGAACGAAGGGAGTTTAGGAGAGATTAAGGAATTTGAAGAGGCTAGTTGTCTGTACCCCTGACTCCGGACCCATCCAGGACCCTTGCCCTCGGATGCTCCACAGGGGTTTCCAGCTGCCCCAGCCCCAGCCTCCCCCAGAGGGGGCCTTCCCTGGAGCGCTGGTTTGCGTGTCGGCATCACCCGCGGTGTGACCCAGAGCAACGCACACCGGGGTGTGGAAATGGGGGACAAGATCGAAGGGCCTTGACGGGTCACCAGCCCCTGGGCAGGAAAGAGAACACCGCAGACCTGATTTCCCAGCGATGTCACCCTCCCCCTCCCCCCTCCTTGCTTCTTGCTGTGCTCACTCAGCTCCTGCCTTCCTCCCTTTCCGTCCTTCTGCTCTGCCCTGTCTAGAGGACAAGTGGACACCAGGGGGGCGCCTGCCTTATTGGTGCCTGCCTCAGCCTCCCCCCACACGCGGGCAGACTCCTGGGCACGTGAGGCTCTCCCAGGTGCAGAGCCAGCAAAGAGTTTCTCTGCACAGAACGGACTGCGTGTTGGGGTGCAAATGATATCCCTTATATTCCTGCTTGTGTCAGCACTCTCTGTGAAGCCCCTTCCTAGCTTCCCTTCTCCCCGTGGCTTCTGTTCATGACTGGGGTTCCTCTGATTTCCTCTTTGCCTGACCGCCGCCTCTCACCGCACCGACCCCGAGCCTCTTCATCTGAAACTGTTGTGTCATTAACTCTGTTGGTTCAACTCTCTGGGACAAGAATCTGTTCATGTAAAGTGCACTTACTCCCTGGATGTCGTCACCAGTCTAGTGGCTTTTGCTAAATAAACCTTTCTTATTTCTAAAAGCTTTTCCTTGGTCTTTTCTTGCTGCTTCTATTCCTCCTGCTCCCTGACTTGCCCTCACTTCCACCCCCCCTTCCCAAGCCAGCGGCCATCAGCTCTGCGACGCACAGTTCTCAAGGGTTGTGGTGTTCGGAAAACAGAAGGCAGGGAGGTGGTGCCTTCAGGGGCGGTTTATCCAGACCAGCCTTGCTGATCAGATGGCTCAACCGTGGTTCTCATCCGGGGATGATGTTGCTTCCGTGCGGGACATTGGGCAGTGCCTGGAGACAGTTTTGGTTTGTCCCAGCTGGGTGAAGGATGCTTTTGATATTTAGTGGGTAGAAGCCAGGGATGTTGCTAAACATCCTACAGTGCACAGGAGAGCGACCCCCCCCCTCCCCCGCCACAATAGAGAATCATTCTTCCCCAAATGTCCGAAGTCCTGAAGTTGAAAGGCCCCAGGCTGGTGCCCACTGTTCTAGACCCTCCCAGGCCCGGGTCATTTCACACTGCAGACATCACTGGCACATAAGCAAGTTTTGAGTGCCTGAAAAAGTACGACATCATAGATGTTTCCAGCTATAACTAAAATCATCTAGATCATAAAATTTCACTGACTCCCTTGACTAAATGTCTGAAACATGCAATGAGTAGGATCCCGAACAACTCTGTTCCTAAAATGTCTACCGCAGAATCAAAACAGGCCGGTCCCCACACCTGCCCACAGGCATCATGGTGCCCTTGCCGCTCGGCTCAGCGGAGCGGCCCTGGCTCCAGGGCACTTGGCTTTCCTGCCAGGAGGCAACATGAAAGGGAAGAGGAAGGCTAGCGAAGGAAGAGCGTCAGAGAAACAGAAGCTGCAGGATCCCGGAAAGCCACCATCATGGAAACCAGACTAGTTTGGCCAGAATGTTTAGCCCTCTTGAAGGCAGAGGGCTTGCCGGGCCTGGTGCTTTGTCAGGCCCAGCCAGGTCTGCGGGCAGGTTGAGAGGGTCCAATCAACCAGCTTCACATGCCCTTTGCCCTTTTCTGAGTGATAGAACTGGGCCCCGTTTTTCTCATCTGTAAAATGGGGATAAAATAGACCAGATAAAGCGATAATGAAGAGTAAATGAGCTTGCATTTTACAAGCACCCAGCAGAGCGCCTGGCAGGGGCTCAGGGCACCATGGAGCTTACCTTCCACTTGATTTGGGGCGGGGGGATGTGCTCACGTGGTCCATGCATTTGTGGGCTGGGTGCGTTCTCTGTGTGCTGAAACTCTCCTCAGAACTCTGCACTGAGAAAGGTCCTGGGGGTCCCAATGATGCTATTAAATGTGTGAAAGGCAGAGAGCGCCCGTCCTCACACAAAACTCAAGCCCCTGCCAAGGCAGCAGTCGGCACGTGCTGTGGCCCTTCTGCCCAGACCCCGGCTGTGGGATGGCTTTCTGTCTTTTTTAAAATGTTCTGTGCCTGTGACACAGACGCCCTGGAGGAGGGAGTGTGGGTTGGGCAAAGGGTGTGAGGCCAGACAAGAGCTGATTCCTCCTGATTCTCCCACAGACCGAGGTAAGGCCACGAGGCCCCCACGTGAGCCCCTCCTTGTACCCCCTCCTCAAGGGCCCCACCGAGGGGACGCACGTGCATAGTGACACGCGTAGGGGAAGGTCTTCAAGGGGGTAGGTGGCTTTTCCTTTTTGGGAAACAGGAAATCAGAATGAGGACACGTCTGCCTCCCCCCCCCCCGGGGGGGGTGGTCCAGGGAGTGATGTCAGAGCTGCCTAGAGAGACCACCCACCCCCGAGTGGACAGGCTGGGACCCTCAGTTTAAGTACATTCTTGGACTCTGGCTGCGTTGGCAGAGGGTGGGGAGAGAGCGAGTGGGGAAGGCTCTCTCAGCGTGGGACATGACAGGATTTGAGGCCAGCCTCTCACAAAAGAACCACAGACGATTCTGTGATGATTTGGCAGGACAGGGGTAAGCAGAAGCAGCTGTGCTAAACCGGAAAGCAGAGACCTTACTATAGGACCACTCGAAGGGCAAGGGGGAGTCTTCCCTTCCAGCCTGTTGGCCAACCGGCGGGGAGGCAGAGGTGAAGGGAGGGTTGAGGCTGGGCCCCCCCCCCCCAGAGGAGATGCCCCATGGCAGTGAGAGGGTCCCTGGGGCATTAGGGAGACGAAATGAGAGGTAAATAAGGCCTAAAAATAAGACCATTAAGCAGTCAGCTCTTTTTTTTTAAACCACATAATGGGTAAAACAGATGTCTTCCCTGCATCCCTGATGTTCAGCCATGTTTCTGGGCCGGAGTTGGTCGTGAGGCTTGCTCAGAAATGGGATGAACGTCGGGGTTGCCTGCTGGTGCATTACTTGGTAATGGGAAGCCGTGTTTTCACGTGTGTACCTGCCTACTTTGACATGACTCAACACAGCCAGGTAGAGCTGCCCCTGGGTCAGAAGCAAGGCTGGTGTGCTTCAGCAAGTGTGCCCCTTCCAAGTGAAGGACTCTGGTGCACGGTGTGGGGGGTGGGCCCGGCCCTGTGCGCCTCTTTCCTGCCTTATGCGTGGGGGCATGCAGTCCTCCCTGTTCTACCCCTCAGGAGATCTAACACCCGAAAAGCTTCTCGACGATGCGGGAAACTTCCCTGTGCCTGTGGGAAAGGATGTTCTTTCTCCTGCCCTCTGGGCGAGCCCTCCCGTCTGAGCGGGGTGTGGCAGGGACCGGTCACAGGGGGGACAACCAGGAAGCCAGCATCTTAAGAGCAGCGTTCTCATGCTTGCGCTGCCCCAGAATCACCCAGAAGGCTGCTGAGAACCCGGGCTGCCGAGCTACCTGCCGAGTCTCTGATTCAGTGAACCTGAGATAGCATTTCTAGCCAATTCCCAGGGGATGCTGGCACGGCTGATCTGGGCACCTCACCTTGAAAAGTACCACCATAGAGGCTATTCTCAAACTTGACAAGGAGAGGGGAAGGGAAGGCGGGAGGGGCAGCGAGGGGGGACCTGCTGTTGCTAGGTAACCGTTCGCCAAAGTGGCACGGGATGGGGACCGGGAAGGACCGCGGGTGGATCAGGGTGACCTCGCACTTGACAGAAGGCTGTGGCTAACTTCGGTTTATTGACATCTCTCTGTAGACACAACTAGGCTTCAACCCCTCTTTCCCTGAGATGTCCGCTAACAGGACAGCTGCGGCCCTCCAGCCGGGCTACTTGAAGGCCTGGCAGCCGCCCGAGGAGAGCCTGTCTCCTGGCCGGGCCTTCTGCTCCTTGCCCCAGAGGGTTTTGAGCTTGCAGTAGTACACCTTGCAGCTGAAGCCCTCCCTGAAGCCCCCCTTGATGTGGCTCTTGAGGGAGTGCAGAGTGGGGTACATGCGGCAGCAGGCTGCACACTTGTAGCCGCTCTGCAGGGCCGGGTGCCACCTGGAGGCCGTGAGAATGTCCTGGGACGTGATGTAGTCCGTGGAGTCCAGGCCGGGCCGGGACTGCTTGGTAGCCTCTCGGGGGCAGGTGTTCTCCGGGGAGGAAGACGGTGAGCAGAGGCTCTCGGCCAAGTCCTCCGGAAGGCAGCTGTCCCCCCTGCCCTCGTCCCGCTGCACCGCTGGGAGGCTGTAGGCCTCCAGGTGGCTCTCCTGGTCTGTGCACACAAAGTAGCTGTAAGGGGAGAACCAGGGCCGGTAGATGGTGCAGTTCCGCCTCAGCTGCTTCCTGTTCTGAGGGTCCCCCAAAATGCAGTCTGCGGAGGAAAGGGTGGGCTCTGAGCGTGGAGAAGCAGAAAGGCAAGAGGTCAGGAGTCAGGCGTGGCCTTGGGGTCCCTCCCCGCCCCCCCCTTGACCGCGGGACTGAGAGCAGGGGGGGAGTTGGGGTGGGGAGAGCCGCCTGAGGCCTGCCTTCCGGCTGCTCCCACAAAGGGCAGTTTGATCTCAGGGGTGGAGACTCCGCCGACATTCACTAAGCCTCAGCGTCTGTCACGGGCCGCGCTCCCTGCAGACACCTGGCCTCCGCCTCCTCTAAGGGTAGGTAGGTGGCTCCGCGAGCAGCCCGCCCTCTGGCTTCCCAGCGCCCCTTTTCCACCACCAATGGTAGTGGCCGTTTTTCCAGCCTCCCTGTCTGCCCACAACAACCCACGGGGGCGGAAGCTGCCGTTTCACCCCAGCTCAGGAGACCGGCCGGTGGGGGTCTCCTGAAGGAAGGACCAGGAAGGAGAGGGTGGGGGGTGGAAATGTTTTGCACCCTTCCCATCGGGGAGCAGCCTGTGCCCCTCTAGCTTCTCACAGGTGCCCGCCCAAGGCAGAGAAGGCCTCACCTGGAGAGAACCCCGTGTTCCGTACCCCAAGCCGGAAGGCGCTCCTGTGGTACTGGGCTGGCAGGGCCTGAGCTGGGCTGGCCCCCTCGGTGGGTAATGCCGTCTTTGCCATGTCTGGGTTATGGAAGAAACGCGCTGGTGAGCTGCGCAAAGTTGGGGGTCCTCTTGTTGTTGACCACCTCCCCCCAACATACTTAGAGACTCTACCTTGGGACTTTATGACATTGCAAAGCTGAAGAAAAACAGTGCCCTCTTTTGCACCCAGATAAGTGGAACTATTCTGGGTGGCATCCTGGGGAAATCCAAAGGGGCATTTTCGTTGAGATCTGGGAAAGATTCTCTCCAAGGGAGAATTTTAGATGCAGACCAGATGAGAGCTTTCTGCCTGGCCCATCCTTCTCGTGTGTGTGTGTGTGTGTGTGTGCGCGTGCGTGTGCGTGTGTGCACGTGTGCGCGCGCACGCGCGCGCATGCTGCATTCCAGCCTCTGGGCTTGCTCTGGGATCCAGGGGAGGGAGGGAGTCTAGTCACGGACCACGTTGCTATCTTACATGGCCCCTTTGGGGATGAGAAGTCAGTTTCTCCAATTGAAACGTCTCCTGCCCACAGCCGGGGAGCGTTGAGGTGGACCCTAGCTGTGTGAACACTCTGATGACTGCTAACTCTCGGTTAAAAAAAAAAAAAAAAGCCTGCCTCAAATCCCAGAGCGGGACCAGAGCTCAGTTTGGGAAACCACCGTATGAGGTGGTTTCCTACAGACACGTGGATATTTCGGAGAGCTAGCTCCTGCGTAGAGGAGCCTTCTCAAGCTTTAATGTGCACACTTCTCCAGGAACCACCTGGAGGCCTTGTTACCCATGCAGGTTCTGATTCAGCAGGTCTGGATTGCTAACAAGCTCCCAGGTGAGGCCGATGTAGAGGCCCACAGACCATACTTGGAATAGCGAGTCCTCAGAGCATCTGCCTTGATTCCCTGCTATGCTCCTCAGGGACCCTGCCTCCTAGGTTCCTACTGAGGGGTTGGTGAGCCTGCCTCTTCTCCATCTTGTCCAACCAGGGCTAAAACTAGCCCCTATTCTACATAGACAGTCACCTGAGATTCTAGAGGAAAAAAACAACTGAGTAACAAGTGTTTTCCCCCATCCTTCCCTTGCCAGAAATGAATAAACAGCAGGAACTACTTACCATGAATGCAGCATTTTGAAAAATTATTTTCTCCCCATGTATAATTTGACATTCTCACTAAATCGTAGTCCTGTAACATGATCTGGTAGAGTGCTCAATTAAAAGCTTCAAAAAAAACCACATTTTTGTGGCCCTAGTGGCACCAGAGTTTACCTGGCAAGCTGGTGGCACGTGAGGACATAATGTCGGGAAAAGTGCTCAGGGCTGAGGAAGAGATTCGAGGTCCAGAAATGCTGAGGAGTGAGAAGTTCTCCATATTCTGACTACCGTAGGGTATGGAGATCACACATCTGCTCCCAAGAGGCTGGTTGGGTTGTCCAGACGATGAACATTCTGAGTACAGTTGACATCACAAGAAGGCCCCATGATTCCACTAGCTGGCCAGGCTGTCCCTTTCAAAGACTGATGGAGTCTCTTAAATTTTGGAAAGCTTTTTTGGGGCTTGTCATTCCTCATTGGCCTGCCTCGATTGAGAATGCCCAGGGAGAAGGAAGCCTATAAGCAGAGATGTGACCATGATGTAATCTGTTGACCCCGCTTTGGTGTCCTTTCTATGTCCTTGCTGACACACACACACACACACACACACACACACACACACACACACCCGGGGACTTCTGTCCTCTCTGAGTAAGCTTCTTGCTTGGCTTCTCCTTCATCTGCCTCGCCTCTGCCATCAGATGTTTTTGTTCTTTCCGCTTTGAAGTTTGGGGTATAATTTTTACGTTTTCTTTGGAAATCGTTTCAAAGTGACAAAAAGTTGCAAAACTAAAATCAGTTTCCGTGTATTCTGTATCCAGGTTTTCCTGTTGTTAACATTTTACCCCTTTCACTTTGTCAATTCGCCTTCCTCTGCCCCATACTTGGTTTGCAGAGCTATTCCAAGGTAAGTTACAAGCATCATGTCCCTTTGTGCCTAAATACTTCAGTGTGCACTGCCTAAGAATAGGGACCAGAATATGTTTTAAATGGTTGGTGCTGTGTATTTTTAGCGAATGACTAAAACACAAAGGGTGGCTTACTCAACACCATTGTGCTCCTTCTAAGCAGTTTGCTGGGGAGACTTCGCTTCTGTCCTGTCCCAGCCTAGCCTGCTGGAGGGCTGTGGAGTAAGGGTGAAAGGTGATCGTGCCACTTTGAAGATAAGCCCCATTCTAGAGCATCACAACAGGGGCAGACTAGGTACATAGAGTGCATTTGATCTAATTGCGCATCTGCTTGGGCTGCGTGGAAAGATGTGGCCCGGCCGCGGAGCACGTGCAGGTGCGAGTGAGCTTCTGGGTGTGAGAGCCTGGAGTCGTCGTCCTGTTGGGATCCGCCTGTGGGACTTCAGCGTTGCAGGACAGGGTGGAGAACCTCACTGCCTCCCCAGAGCCTGGCTTAGAAGCTTAGAAGGCGTTGGAATTTAATGGACACCATGGGCTTTGGCAGCTTTGAGGGTATTGGCGATTTGATTTGGCCCCTGCAGTGCAGAGGAAGATCCTGGGGCCCGGGGAGTTGGCGTGCGTGAGTTCTTACCCCCCTCTGCCGTTAGCGACCTGTGCAGCGTTAGGCAAACCTCCCTGCCACCATGTCCACCTATTTTGTTCATTTAACGGTTGGAATGGGTGAGCGTCTCCCTGGTCTATAATCGGGTGATTTGTGTGCAGAAATGGGAGAGTAATGAGCGTGTGCACACAGAATCCAGAAGATTTTGAATTTCATCCTGCGGGCGTGGGGGGCAGTCATTGAATTCTTCCTGCTGCCAGCTTGGGAACTTCAGATAGACTGCCTGTAGAGGGGGCTCAAAATATTGGGGAACACATGGGAAGCTGTGTCAGAGCCTGTTTGTAGAGTTTTTAAAAACAAGACACTTTCAGTCTAGGTATTGAAGAGTTCATGGGAACCTGGTTGTCCAGGGTTGGTCATATTCCTGGCAGCAGGCCTGCTGTCTTGCATGTTACACTCTCCCGGTATGTTGTTGCTGGTGGCCCGGGCAGGAGGTGACACTCCCAAAGTGGTTGGCCACTACATAAAATGTGTCTCTCTCTTGTTTGCTTCCCACCTGCTTTCCGAGCCCCTTTCTCGGACAGGTAAGAGACCATCTTCCTTATGGACGACTTATGTCACAGATGCTTGGCTCTTCTCGGATGTGTGCATGTGGGGGGTGCTGCGGGGCGGGCCACCAGGTCGGGGTCTCATGGTTTTTCTTTCCATCATTGCCATTACGTTCCAAACCACCCTGCATCTAGTCCAAAGGGAGGGATGGAGCGTGGGGGGTCGTTAGTGCCACCAGCAGGAAAGGGGCTCCTGGCACATCCTTCTGGTGTGGAAATGAAGGAAGCCCCCCCCCCCCCGCCAGAGTCCCACTTCTGAGACAAGAGCAGTTGCTCCCGGGCTGACCTCAAGAGAGTAGGTTATGACTGGCTTTCATAAATGGAAAAAGGCTCAGGAAGAGTTCTCTACGCTGTCCGCCCATAATGTGGTCAGGTTTTAAGTATTCCTATAAAAAGCCAATTCAATTAAGCCAAACTTACTAAATGCTGACTCTTGCGCCAGGCCCTATGCTGAGCACTCCAGAAAGTAAAAAAAAAAAAAAAAAAAAAAAATCACTGCAGATGCTGCATCCCCTCGAGGAGCTCACCATTTCATTATCGAGCCAAGGTGTGTTTGCCAGAAAGACTTAGGGAATTGTAAAGAACACACAGGATAGGTTATCTTTAAATTACTTAAGAATTCAGCATAGACGTTCGCAAGGGCAGTTTTTCAAATAAGAGGAGCTCACAATTCACAAGTCACTTAGGGTTTTGTTGTTGTTGCTTACACTTTCAGAAATGAGCACGTCTACACTGCAGATTTCACTTGAAACCAATAAGGAGACCACCCCGGATGTATCTGAGCCAGGAAGTTGGGGGGATCTGCCTTCCCCAGCGAACCTCTTTTGAACATTTGCCCTGGTTTCGCAGTGGCGCAAATATACTTGCTGGTTGGGGGGGAAATAGTTAAATGCTTTCATTGCAAAGGGCTTCTCTGCAGATTTTATGATTAAAGAAAAACTGGAGGGTTACGAGACGCGATAGGGAAAGTATGCCGAAGTGGGTGGTGATGTGGCAAGACAGAGCTCTTGGCAGAGTCAGAGGGACTGATAACCCCGCTGGGGGCTGGGCTGGAAGTCCTGCTGGCATGGCATGGCCTCGCCCGGAGCCCAGGCTGCCTCAGCCCGTCAGCTCTGTGCCCCAGACCCCGGGGCTCTTCTAACCCAGTTCCCTAGCACGGCCCCCGCCATGGTGCCTTCCCTGTGTGTGTGACAGACGTGCAGACCTGGGGGTGGGGTTCATCCGCTCCTCTCCCCAGCGCTTCCTGCTGCCGCCCAAAGACCTTTACAATAGGGCTTCTCTAGCTAGTTGGTGCAGGGGGGATATGTCTGTTGAAACCACAGTTAAGGGAGATGCATCTGCTCCGGCTGGGGGCTCTGCAGTGCAGGGCAGAGGGAGCTACTTTATGCCAAGTTCAGCAGAAGCAGCAGCACACCCCCACCTCACGTACTCTTGGGAAGGCTCAGTGGGAATGGGCACTTAGAGGTGTAGATCCCCTAGATCAACAGAACATCTGGAGTAGTTGGTAAGGACAGAAACCTCACGTGTGCTTCCAAGGCCCCAGGATGCATCTGGCTCCTTGGAGGACTGAGCTTGACTTCCAGGTGGGGGAGGACACCCTGGTACAAGCATGTGGACGTGGACGGTGTGGCCTAAAGCCCTGAGCACCGGTCGTTCCGGTGACAAAACACTGGAGCTATGATTTTGGCCTCTACAGTTCTCCCATCTGCAGAATGGGCCTGGCAGTTTGAGAGATTTATTGAGCACCTACTGTATACCAGACCAGGCTAGCCATTAAAGCTTCGGCCCCAGTGCTGACGTCTGCTCATCTTGTGTTCATGGCGAGAGAAAAATACCATAGCTCATGACTTCATCAGTTTTTCTCCAGAGGGCTCGGTGACCCCAAGGTCAGGGGTCAAGCCAGGAGTCGAGGAGGCAGGTTTAAAGGGATAAGTTCGGTTGAAGTGACAGGTTTGTGGCTCGAGCTTGTCCCTGATGAACCAGGCGGGGCAGAACTGGAATTGCTGATCCCACATCCCATCAGGAAAACGCGACCAGGAGGGTCAAGAGTATCTCTGCTGGTTCTCTCCTGAATGTTACCAAAGCCTCGGGAAATGACAGTGGTGGGTGCGCTGTCAGGGCGAGAGGCAGGGGGACCCGCCCCCACTCACCGTGTCTGTCTTCCCCTCTGTTTGCAGTGGACCACGGCGTGTTTGAGAACTTGAACGCGGCCCACGCTCCGAAGCTGCAGCCCAGCTGCTCCTTCCCCCACTTGTCCAGGCTGGTGGCCCCCAGCTCTGCCGCCCCGGGGCCGGTGGAGCCCGGCGGGCCGGGACTCTGGGTGGGCAGCAGTCAGCACCTCAAGAACCTGGGCAGAGCCGTGGGGGCCAAAGTCAACGACTTCCTGCGGAGGAAAGAGCCCTCGAGCCTGGACGGTGCGGGCGCCATGGAGATCAACAGGACCGCGGGGGCCCGGCTGGCCGGCGGAGTTGCTGGCGAGGAGGAGAGGTGAGTGTGGGGGGGCGGGCCCGCCGAGCTCCGGGATGAACCCGGGATGAACCCAGAGAGCAGCCCTGAGCCGGGGACGTGAGCTCCTCCTGCAGAGAACAGGGCTGGGCCGTGTCCTTGGTTGCTGGCTGTCACCCGGTCACCACGACCGAGGTTTACTGGGTGCCTGTCCGGTGTCTGCAAACGCTGGGCCACACGCCCCCCTTCCCCCCCCCCCCCCCCCCAGCCCTTGCAGCGGCCCTGAGGTGGATCAGGTGGTTCCTGTCTTGCACAGAACCAAGTTCAGAGGGGTAAGGTGAGGAGCTTCGGGTTACGAAGTTAGGAGTGGGTGGAGCTGGAGTCGAGCCCCAGCATCGCCCAAAGCTCCCTGGGTGGATTCTAATACGCAGCCTCACCTTCGAGCCACTGCCCGGCTCGTGGTAGTGGAGGAACGTGGGCGCCCGTGGGACCCAACAGGGGCAGGGGAGGGAGAAGCCCGCTGGGGCCACCAGGTCCCTTCCAGGCCTTGTTTTCACCACCCGCTGTGCTCCTCAGCTGGCACAGTCCCCCATAGCTCACCAGTGGTCCCAGCGGCGACAGCAGCCCCGCCGGGGGGGTGGTGCAGGGCAAAAGCCGGCGGTGCTCCAGCTTCCACAGCCCACACAGCACACGGAGGATGAGGCCCAAGCAGGAAAGCGCTTGCTGGGTGGGGGAGCTAGAGAAGCAAGGATCAGGGCTCTGGGTCTCGCCATCCTTAGAGCACACGTGCCTGTTGTCATCAACCCCACAGGTCAGCCCCGCAAGAAGCATTCCCTCGACTGGACCCCCCGCCCCCCATCACCAGGAAGCGAACGCCTCGGGCCCTGAAGACCACACAGGACATGCTGATTTCGTCACAGCCCGTCCTAAGCAGCCTGGAGTATGGGACCGAGCTGTCTCCTGGGCAGCCCCAGGACACCCTTTCCCCTGCCCAGCCGGAGGCCCCTGTGGAAATGGCAGATAGGGGCGAGGCTCTGCCCAATGGAGAAGTTTCCCCTTCCGTGCCTGACCTGATTCACCAGGACAGCCAGGACGAGCCCAAGCTGAAGATGACTGAGTGCCGAAGGGCCTCCTCCCCTGGCCTCCTTGAGAGGAACGGCCTCAGACTCAGCCCCATCCACCTGGCCGAGCCACTGGAGGCCAGCAGCCCCCCTCCTCGGGCACGGACCTCCAGCCTTGACAATGAGGGCCGGCACCCAGACCTGCTCTCCTTTGAGTAGGGCCTCTTCTCCCTGCCAAGCACCCCCCTTCCCCTCGGCCATCTCCTTCCCTCGTACCCCTTGCCCCCCAGCTCTGTGTGCCCTTTGCCCCCTTGTGCAGAGATCAGCGGAGAGCCAGTCCCCCCGTGTGGGCTGTGCAGGGCCAAGAGTCCCTCAGTCGTCCTCGTTAAAGGCCCGTGTTCCGTAAGCTCCTCTGGGTGCCGGCCGCAGCCCTGGGATGTTGGAGCCCCTCTACTCCCAAGCTGCCCTGACTTCCCACTGGACCCCAGGGCCACCAGCCTGGGATGAAGGCTCCTGCCGGCCTCCCACACGCTGTCTGTGCCCCCGCCCCTCTCCCTCCCTGCCCTGGTTCGTTTCTCCTGCCTCGGGGGCGGGGGGGGGGATCTAGCTGGTGGGGAATGATGGGTTTGGCAGATGATGGGCTCAGACCTGGAACGCTGCATACCCTGAGTGCCGCCCAGCCACTGTTCTCCCAGTCCCAAGACCTCTGCCCTCTGGGTGTGGGCCAGAGGGGACACCAGGCCTAAGACCTGGAGGCAGCCTGGTCGCCGGGGGCTCTCGGGGTGTTTCCTGTCTGGCCAGTTGGGGAACGCACCAAGCCCCCCGGGACAGGGCACAGAGCCAGCCACTGAGGAGGCACTGGGGGAAAGGGGTACGACCCGCCACGTGTGGGCTTCCTGCGCAGAAGGGGAGGCCGGGCCACCCCTGCTGTGTGAAGACCGGGCTGCGCAGGCCCCAGCAGAAGCAGCACAGCAGATCACCATCTCGCTTGGGGACAGGGCCCATGACTTGGTGTCTAGGCAGCTGACCTTGAGAACCTGGAGCCGAAGTCGTGGAGAAGACAGGCTGAGGACAGAGCAGCCACCGTGGGGCGGGGGGGGGGGGGGGGGGGGGGGGGGGGGGG